CCACAGGAAATAGCAGAGATTTATGTATCGTCCATAAAACACTGCAGGAAGACTCAGGCTGCTCTGGGTGTGCGCATTTCTGGGCTCTGAAATGTGCCTGTGTGAATTAAAGCTACGTGGGAGAATTCATTTTTTGATGACTCGCCTTGCAAAAATGTTCTAGGGGACATTTTTAAGCGTGCTTTTTCTTTTTTTTAATAGTTTGAGTTAGGTTTGAGGGAGAGGTTTTTTTGTTTGTTTGTTTTACAGTTTTACTTGGCTTTTCTTTTCCTTCATCAACACTTCTGACCTTTATTATGTCTTTTTATTTTCTAGAAGAAACAAGCAGGCGCTCATGTCAGCCAGCCGCCCAAAACAGAGACGAGTGGAGCAGCTGCTTCTGCTAAGGTAATGTGTGTACTTAAGGAAATTATACTTTTTTACAAGTGGAGAGGATGTGGTGTGACTCCCTCCCCTGCGCTGGGATGGAAAATTATTTGTTTGCCCATGTTCAGCACCACGGGGGTGTTCTTTCGTGACTTGCTAGAAATTGTAACCTGTTGAAAGGAAAGGGGAGTGCAAGCCAGCAGAACGCTTCTGTTGACATCGTGAGGAAATAAATGGTAACATTCTCCCTTTAGACATCTTCTTTGGTAGTTTCCCAGTTATTTTAAAGGATCCTGGCCCTGTTGCTGTCAGTGGGCACCTTCATTATTTGATTTTGGGGGTGCTGTGTTTCTTTCTTCAGCCTGAGGTGTTGGTATTTTTGGGTGAGTTTGAAGAGATGACAGCTTGCCTTTGCTTTCATTGCCTCCAGGGCAGCCCAGCTGGTCATTCAAGAAGCATTTTAAAGCTGGATTGCAAAGGAGTGCAGGGGCTATTCTCTGAGGGGAAGCAGGGTGCTGGGGTCTGGCAGGGTGTTGAAGGAGGGCGCTGAAAATTCTCCTGCCGATGCTGCCCCCGGCAGACATTGTTCGATGCACAATCGTCACAGGTGAGGAAGATTCAGATCACTTAAAAGACAAGCACTATGTTTTATTGAGGTAAATAAATATTTTTCTAATGGAATTTAATGAAGTTTGACGGTAAGGTTTTAACCCCAGCTGGAGTCCAGGGAGAACTCAGCCTGGGCCCATTTTGGTGGCAGCATTCAAGAGCGGGCAGCTGGGTGCTGGTCAGCAGTGCAGACAATATTAATGCCTTTGAGTCTGGTACCATGCCCTGCCTTGAAATTCTGGGTTTCAGAAGCACCTTTTGAGACATTTCTCAACCCACCTTCACTCCCGTGTGTGTGCCAGGGGCTTTCCAGCTCCTCCAAGATGAGGAGCTGGCTGCTCCGAAGGCAAGCTGAGAGGGGTCCACAGATCCACCACAGTGTTCCATGTCTGGGGGAGCCTCTTGTTGGAAGGATCCTAACAGCAGGAACTGTTTCTGCTTTTGAATGGGATTTTTTTACTTTCTCGATCAGTGCTTTTGTAACACAATGCACCTAAAGGTAGCTGCATGCTTCCTAAGTAATTTATTTTTCCTTTTTACTCAGTGAGGGAGGAGACAAAGATATAAATCCTGTTGTCCGTTTCTTTCAATGTTTCTGTCTATTACTAAAGACAGCACAGCATTTTAATTTTTTTTTTTTCTTTTCTTTCTATTCCATGCACTTTGCCAAGGTTTACCCCTCCTACTCAACATGGATGTCACCAGCTGCATAGTCACAGGGATGCTTACATCTAATTTGCTGACTAATACATTCAATTTTTTTTTTTCCAGTATATGTTCTTTCTGTGATAAGTAGAAAGATGTTTTAAGTGTGTAAGTCACAATTCATGCATGCTATTAAGCCTAGGAACTGGAAGGTAGTGTCATGAAAATAATGCAATGGAATTGCAACTTAGATTGTGTATTTTAGCAGTACTCTCCAGTTTCTGTGACATTCCAGCATACTTACTGGTAAAGATTATGTACTATGAAAATACTCATCTCATACTATCTAATATTGACTTTTAATCAGTAGCTAATTCAAGTTCAGCCTTTTCAGTTCAACTCAGCCATTTCCATCTTTTTTCATTTAGGCTAAATGTTCTGTTAATTGTAACTTTTACTCTCAACAATCTCCTGTGATCCTCTAGTGTTACATAAAATAAAGGAAAACTCAGAGATTTATTGTAGTTTGTGCCACCTATACCTTTTTTCAAGCCATTTGTCTGGCTGTTTTCTTTTCTGCCTTTATTTTTGTCTCTAAAATATCTATTGAAAAAAAAAACCCCAATTTTGCATGTTTTTTTGTTTTGTTTTTGGTTTTGGTTTTTTTTTTTTTTTGTTGTTTGTTTTTTTTTTTTTTTTTTTTTTTTTTTGTTTTTTTTTTTTTTTTTTTAACAGGAATTTTACAGGAAGGGAAGTATTTCTTGAAAAGTCAAGGCAGCACATTCTACTTTCCTGCAAAACCAGATCAAATCTTTTAGTGCAGTCAGAAATACTCCATGAGATTTTGGACACTTTGGGACCACTGTGTCTTCTATTATTTATTTCTTCCTGTTGTAGCTTTAATAATTCTCCTGGTCAGTGGTATTTACTTGTCATTACTTATCCCAGCTGCATTTCTAAATCCTTACCAGTGGCAAGGGAGGTGGGATAGTTAAGTTGTTCCAGCTCACGCTTTTTATTTTTTTAACCAATTCCTACCTTATGGTGAAATTAATTAAACTGAAGAGCCAAGAGGGGGTTTGCTGCCTGCACAGCAGACCTGAGCAGTTTTTCCTTCAGCTAGAAAGCAACAATAACTGATGGCTTCTTTCTTCTGGCGATTCTGGCTTTCAGATGCAGGAGCTTGTGTGTGGTGGAGGATTGTCGCTGTGTCCTGCGGGCAGTCTGGTTGTCCAAGGGAGAGAGCACTCAGCTGCCTGGCTTTGTTTTCCTGCACTGTCCCTGAGAAATGCAGCTCTCTGTGCCTCCACTTTACCCCTGTGCTCTCTGTTGTGCCACTCTGGAATCGCAGGCGGTATTTACCTACTGCCTCTGCTCCCTGTGCCCTTACAGGGGTGTTAATCCTCTGCCTAAGTGTCCCTGTGGTGCAAGAGTGCTGCCTCCTCCTCTGCACTCAGGAGGCTCAGTCAGCAGCCGGGACGTGCCCAGTTTTTGTGTGACTCAAGGCCAAATGGATAATTTAGGGAGGCTTCACCGAGGCAGCTCTTCTGACTCCTTTGTTTCTGCGACAAACCTTTCTTTCCTCTTCGGAGCGCTGCTCGGCTGCTGGTTTGGGTTTTCAGCGAGCACCTGTCTTGGCAGGAGTGAAAAGGGAGGTTCAGGTGAGGCTGCCATCATCAGGAATGTTTGCTGGGTTGCCCAAGAGCAGCCTCTTCCCTGCACGCCCTGCCTGCCGAGGTGCACAAACCAGGCCGTGGCTGCCAGGATCAGCAGGCAGGAAAAACTGAACCAACCTCCTCCTTCTCCTGCCAGTGCCGCTGTGTTTCCTTTCACAGCCTTTAATGAGGATATTGCCAGTTCCACAGCCATCAGGAAAGCCAATTTCCACCTCAGTGTTCAGTCGTGTCTATTAATAGAAGGCCCTAATACTTGAACACAGCTGGATCCAGACACCCTTCCTGGATCTTTGTGTTCTTATATGGTATTTTTGTTGATAACAGATGGAGTTTTGCTGCTTTTTTATGTAGCAGATTTTTTGCATTGCTCCTAATGAGTAATTATTTTCTTTTTCTGGGTGGCTGCTATAGCTTAGAGAAGTGAGAATCTTTGTCTGTATTACTTTCATGGCCTATTGAAGCAGTGCTGCGAGAGCTCAACAGCATTTTTAATAATTATTGTTATTTCCTGTTTTCAGAGGAAGATTCTTGACCTTCATGATTTAATAAATTTAAGGTTAATTACTTTTAGCTGGCACCCAAATTAACATTGTTTTAAAGGGGAATCCTTTCTGCTTTCTCATGGCACAAACAAGAAAACAAGGAAAAAGAAGAGAAGTTGATAATATCTTTGAGTGAAATCCCTACTATTTTTGCAGCAGGCAAATTAATCTAGCTTATTATCAAAAGTGGCACCTACTGTCAGTGGTTTTTTTTCTGCTACACACCTTATTAACTGTCAGCAAATATTTATTTTGTGAGCTTTGCAGAGGCACCTTATTGTGAAGGAAGAAATTTTTTGAGTAGAAGGCATCTGAAGTCACAGGATTGTTTGGGAACGTCCACAGAAATGCATAAAATTTTTCTCACATTTCCAGTCATATTGTGAAGGTTGGAAATGCTACCTCTAAGACTTGAGATTATTCAGAAAAAAATACCAATTCAGGTTATCTGAGGACTTAGTTTCCATGTTCTGTCCAGGGTGGGTGTTTGCATGACACAGATTCACAGTTTATGGGTGTTCTGCAGCAGGACTGTGGCAAATCATGGGGCTCTTCCTGGAAATTGCCCTCAGAGCTGTTGGCAGCACGTGAAAATCAGGAGGGCTGTGCCTGTGTGGGGAACAGTGCTGGCTTTCTTGGTGGCAGAGGCACGCTAAAAATAGACCTAAACGTTAAAAACTGGAAGCTGCTGGAGTACAAAAGGTGCCTCATGCGTGGAAGAGCTGGCTTTCTGTGAAGATACAGGATTTGCAACTTGCAGAGCTGTGCAGTGGTCAAAATAGCACAACCTTTGCACAAAAAAAAATTCTATACTTCACTCAGAAATGGGATATTTTCTTCATCAGTCTGCGGATGTTTATCCCTTTATAATTCCCTTCCAGTGCTGACTTATTTCTTATTATTCACTCATGTTAAAGGGCAATACAGAGGTTATTATGAGAAAGTGGCTGAAGGTTTTGTTAGTGGCACAGGGCTCTTTGTTGAAAAGAAAAACCAACAAACTCTCCTGTAATACCACAGGTATTGAAAATTTTATTATATGGCAAAAAGAAATTCAAGAACAGACCATTATTGGTATTTCAAGAAGCACCTGTTAATTTCTAAACTAATAGGGATTATTTGGGTTTGTTAAGCTTAAAAATAGCCCTACTCAGTCAAGTTTAGGCCTCAAGTGGCCAAAACCCTCTCAATTACTTTCAATTGGCAACATCCATGCACTCGGAGAGTCTGGGTAATCACTCCAAATTTAGAGAGTGTAAACTTGTAATGGGGCTGAGGGGAAATGAGCAGCTTCCTTCCCTCGGCACAGGCGCTGAGAAATCGAAATGGAGGCAAATGCTGCTTTTTGGAGGCCGAATTTCAGCTTCGCCCCTTGCTTTCGCTGCGTGTCCCTCGGTGCCAGCTCAGTGACAGCTGTCCCTGCTGGGCCACCCTGCTCTGGCCAGCTCCGCAGGGAGCAGCAGCAGCAGGGGCTCTGCTGCCTGTGGCTCAGCACGGGAGCCCAAACCTGCAGGTCCGGGTGCCCTCCCCTGTGCTGCTGGGTGGGGATGGTGTGGCTCAGCGCTCGGGCTTGCCAAGGGCTTGGCTTGGCCAGCAGCTCCCGGCAGGCACAGCCCCAGCGCCGGGGCCAGGAGCAGCCGTGTCCCTGCAGCACCCCGCAGCCACGCGTCCCCCAGGTGAGTTGGCTCTCCCTGCTTCGCTTCCCTGCTGCCTCTGCCTCAGGCTTGTTTGTGTTCCTGCTGTAGTTTTATCTTTCTTCTTTTTTTTTTTTTTTGGTCTTGTTTTCTCCCATTTCTCCCCCTCTCTGGGAGTTCTGTGGGCTGCGATAACACCAGCCGCCAGCTCCAGGGTTTTCTGGCGTGCCTCCCCTGTCAGCAGGCTTGAGGCATTCCAGAGCAGCAGTGTAGTTAATAATTTTCAGTTTATTTATTTGGATATACTGGAAACAGCCTTCTCAGACACCACGTGACACGGCAGTTTGGAGGAGAGAGGGACAAGGAAGAGCAAGCTTTAAAAGCGCTGTCCAAGTTGTTCTGTATTTATATTTTTGCTTTGGGGCGGGGTTGGTATTTTTTCCTTGCTCGCAGCCCACGCTGTGCTGCCTTCCAAGACCTGTGTGATTTTTTTTGGCATACTAATGCAGAGCCTATACAGAGTATTGCATAGTCAGGGTGCGGTGTTCTGCAAGAGCAACTCCTTGTTTGAACTGTGCTCAGGTATCAGTAGTTTATTGCACTTAAAAAGATATGTTTTAGCATATCTAAGATATGCTAAAACATCTGGAAAAAATAATACTTTTCAATGAATTGTATTGTTTGTGCAGTAGTGAACATTAGATAGGTAGGCATTGCTTAAGTAATGCCACTGTTTGATTATTGTTGGTAATATTGTCTCTCCTTTGGAGAAAGTTAAAGTAGTGCATGAAATAGCCCAGAATTTTTAAACATTGCAGACTCCTCTGCTGAGTACTTGATCTCTTTTCTTTTTTTCTTTTTTTTTCTTTTCTTTTTTTTTGGTAACTAGTTTCCTCAATGTTGTGGTGGTTTAGATTTATGTAGTACAATTTATAATAGCTATTTCTGCATTTCTGCATTAGACATTTTATTTTCTAGACTACCATTTGTTACATTCAGTCTTTTATACAACAGTGCTTTCTTGAGTGCTGTTTTGGGGGGTTTTTTTGGGTTTTGGGGTGTTTTTGTTTCCTTTGAGTGCTTAGATACATGGGGTAAATTTTGTTTCTGATCATGGAGTTGCAGAAGCGAGCTCCATTACCAGTTTTTCCTCATGGCTCTGGTTGTAGAGCTTTGCACATTAGGGGGACATTTCCAGTTTGAATTCTGGGCAAGGCTGTGCTGCCCTGGTGGCCCTTGGAAGACTGGGAGTGAGGGTAGAGAAGAAACCTCTATCTCCAGAAAGAAAAGGAGATGTTTTTTCACTGCCTTGGTCTCCAGCCTCTCCACTGTCACCGTTTCTGCCCCTTGTTTCCCTGAGAGGACGATGCTCGTGCTCATTAACGCTGCGGGGCTTTGTCCAGAGTCTTTTCTGCCAAAGGGAGAACCTGGCGTGGGGAGAGGGAGGGTGGCAGCTTTCAGCACTCTTTGGGAGCTCCTTAAGGCTCAGGAACCCTGCTGGCTTTATGGAAGAAGTCAGGTCTGTGCCTGCCTTTGTGCCGTGCTCAGCGCAAGTGCTGGAACCACCTAGAAAATGAACATTTTTGATCCCCAGGAGGGAAGACCCCTGTGAGGCAGGATAAAACCTCACCAAAGTGGAGATTTTGTATTTTTTACCTGAACCATAATGCAGTTATTCCTCCAGAACATGCCGAAGGCCCTTCAGAAGTAATTTTAACTTGAAGCCAATGCTGAAGCAAGAAGTGCCCCAATCTGCTTCTTTTTAAGTGGGAACAATAACACAGTGCTGAAATTTTCTAAAATTATCTGAGAGCAAAGCACAGCAACACACCACCACCAGCCCTGGTTATGCAGCTTTGCCCTGAGATGATATTTTAACAGCCAAGTTCTATTTAGATTCCTTGACTTGGTGTTTTTTTATTTACTCTCCTGTGTTCTCCATTCATTTTGATAGCCACGTCTGTGTCAGCCCCTACAACCATTCATGAATAATTTTTTCTTTCCATCTTCTCTGCGTTCTGGGAGTGAAAAGAACAAATTTCCTGTTCTGAGTGCTGCTCTCACATTTGGTATTGCCTGGTTTGATTGCTGCAGTGGAAATAATCGAGTTCACAACCTCAGAGACCTTTAATGAAGATGAAGCTGTGTTTTACGTAAAGTTGTAAACGTAAAGTTGTTTTACACTGAAGCTGTGTTTCGGTGTCCTTTTCAACCCCCTCTTTGGAGAACACTGGTTCTGTTTGTGGCTCCCTGCTTCTGTTTGTGGCTCCCCTTTGCATCCCAGCCCTGCAGAGCAGAGTGTGGTGTGACACTGCAGACCAAGTGACACAAATCCCAGCTGAGCTCAGCCGCGCCGCGTGGCATGTGGCTGGCACCTAATCTCCTGTTTTCCTGGTGTTTATTTGCCAGCCTGCTGCAGACAACTGTGGAACATTCTGGCGTTTGAAACAGCATGCAGAGAATGGAAACAGCTGGCTGGAGAGGTTGCAGCTGAATGCTCACGTGAGGCAAAAGTGAAAAGAGGATTTTTGAGCTGCCCACAAAAGCAGGGGAGCTCGTCTGCAGTGAGCAGCTCATACATTACTGCAAACCTCTCTTGTGCAGGGTGGGAACCTGAGAAGAGGCTTGACAGGACTGGGGCACTGCTTCTAATATCTGAATATGACTGAGTGAAAGTGAAATTTCAGTGCCTGCCAGCTTGTGGTTTATTGTCACAGGAACAGGAAGTTTCCAGGAGGAGGTAAACATGTTTTAAGGGGAAATAAGAATGAGGAGTTTAAAGCTGATTGTTGATTAACTTAAAAGAAAGAAGGATTGTGCAGCCTGACATACTGAAGTGGTCTGTTTGCAGACACACAGAATGTGAAGGCAGCAGATGAAGTCTGTCACCCTGCTTGAAATTTACTGACTTTTTTTCCAGATCACTTTCAATAGCATGGAAGAACATTAAATAGAAATTGCCTTTGTATATAGTAAAGTCTTTAAAGCAGTAAGCCAAACCACATGCTGGAGTCTTAAGTAATTCCTCATGGCCCCAAATTGAACTGTGAGTATGTAAATTCTTGCTGTATAAATATTGTGCATGACCTGTGACCAGCTTTCCCTTTGCTTCCAGAAGAAGCAAACAGGCACAGTGTTTCTTGCCATCAGGTGTGGGATACTTACAATTTTATGACAGTCCTAACTTCCTGCATATAAGTGAGCATAAACTGCAGTGTTGGAAGTTAAAGGAAGAGTGAAATACTACAAAAATTACTTAAAGTGAATTGTCATTCACTGGCCTCAGTTGTGCTTTGTTCCAGCATAAAGCTGTTTCAGAGTCTTAACAGTTGATAAAATAAAGAAAAAAACAAACATGCAAATATTAAACCTTGAATTAGGTCATTGCAATCCAGACATTTTAAAACAGACATCTCAGCTAAAGGTGGTTTAGCAGTTTTTAGGAGGTGTGAAGCCTTGTCTGCACTGTGGTAAATATAATACTGTTCTTACTCACTGATTTGCTTGTTAACATTTCATTTAGTGTGACCAAATTCAAATGCAAGTAGGTTGCCTCTAAAAACACAGCTTGAAAACCTGATATAATACTGTTCTTACTCACTGATTTGCTTGTTAACATTTCATTTAGTGTGACCGAATTCAAATGCAAGTAGGTTGTCTCTAAAAACACTGCTTGAAAACCTGTTGAATTGAATTTGGGTAGTGTGGTTAACCAGCTTTAGCTGAAGCATAAAATTCAGTAGTGAAGTATTGAAGAGTTTCATATCTGTGGCAGAATGGCAGAAATTTTATTCTAAATTCAAAGAGGAAGAAACGAATGAATCTGTGTAATGGAAGTTGTCTGTCTCAATATTCCACGAGCATCAATAAATTTAGCAGTACTTGAGGACATAAAAGAGTCTTTAAAGGCTAATCAGCACCTCAGTCTCCTGGTTCAAAGCAGTTCCTTTAAAAAATTGTCATGTTTTTGTTTCATGAGGAAATGGCTGTATTTCCTCTGTGTCTTTTACTTTCTCTAAATGGTGGTTGATATTGCTTCTGGGTATAGGTTAATAATTGTTGCAAATGCTTGTCCTGCGTGGTGAGAAAATGGCAGAATAATGAAATTTTAGGGTTATTCTTTTTCACAATAGTAGCTGCAGAAATTTGAACTATAATGATAGTAATAGATTGTAGATATTTTTCAGTTATATTCACACCAGCTGAATTTATGAAAGCTAAAAGCAGGAGGAAGCATCTCAGACAGCTACACCAGTGTCTGAGTGATACACAGGTACTAACTAGAAACCTGCATCCTGCTCTTCCATTTCATTGGATTCTTAGTATTAAGCCTCCACAAAATTTACTGACAGCTTGAAATCTTGAGAACAATATTGTTTTCTTGGTTGCTGTGGGTATTTTTTATCTTTCTCTTAAAAAGCTGTTGTTTTTCTTGGAAATATTATAGCAGAGCTGCATATAAGAGCAGCAGCTGCAAAATAGAATATTACGAAAATGACTTGGGATGGAAAATGACACAGGAGCAGTCAAAGCTGTAATATTTTAACTCAGCTTTTATAGACACTGTAGCAATAAAAGATATTTAAAGAGTTAATGCTCAATCTTTTCCCCCATTTTAAGTCACTGCACGTCTGACATGCCATGCAGCTTTAAATATACATGTTTATAGATTTATGTATTTATTTGTACATGTGCACACACTCACCCCCTTGGTGCTGTCCCTGCCCCATCTTCTGCCTCCCGTGTGGGTGTCCAGGGATGGGAGGGCTGCACAGCCCTTGTCACACACCATCAAAGCAAGGGAGAGATTTAACCTCTTCAACAGCTCAAGTGGTATTTCACACTTGAGCGGGATAACCCATTATTTTTCACCGTGGTTCTCTGAAGAGCTTTTGCTGCCCACATCTCACAAGCGCCGTTAATTAAAGCTCAGAATTAGGGCCCATTCATGGAGGGAAGCAGCCACTCACAGTCAGGTAGATTAGGTTTTCCCTGGCATTACACACCCTGTGAGTTAGTAATTGTGAAATCATAGGTGTTGTGAGCTCCAAGCCGGAGAAGCAGCCCCAGCTCAGTCACACCAAAAGGGTGTTATCCCACAAGAGAACTTGGGTAGCTCTGCAGCCCTCTGTTCTAGACTGTGGTCGGCTAGATCACTCTAAAAATGCTTATACACGCTCCCCCAAAGGCTGCTAGAGCTGGAGACGCCTGATTTATCCATGTAGCCTTTGCCTCAGAGTGAGTCTTGTCTCCAGAAGGAAGACCTTTGAGCACAGACCTGAAAGATTTTTTTTATTAAAGTCTAAGTCACTTCTTTGCTTCCCATTTTCTTGGGGCCCTGGCCAGAGTACAAAGCATCAGGTCCTGACTCACCTTTCCCTGCCACTAATTCCCTCATACATAATTTTTCTTAATTTTTCCCCCTAAACCTGTCCTCATATCTTTAAATATTCATCTCTGATGCAGTGTGATGGCAAAAAATTGTGCTAGCACTTAACCTAGAGAAGCTTAAGCCAAAGATTGGAAGTTATATTTCACATTCATATTTACGTTGTCACAGCAACAGATTACTTTTCCCCAGATTCCTCTCCCCTTGTTTGTTTTTGGTAGGAGAATCTCACTCTGTGACATTGTGGCCTTTGCATGTTTTTGTCAGTATTGCTGCCTGTCTAGAAGGGTTTGGTGTTGTTTTGGATTTCTGTGTTGCTGCCTTCAGCCTGCCACCAGTGTCAGAGATCAGGAGCACTGCTTTATTCAGCTGTCTGAAAGCAAGATTGTAACTCGGTGTTACAGACCAATTTCCCCATTTTGTTAGAGAAAATGTCACCTCAAGTAAAGTGAAAAGTTGCACTGACAGTGTGTCCTCCTCTGGAGGTTTGTTGCTTTATTCTTGTTTATTCTTATTTATCTTCTTGTTGTCACCTCAGCATTTCTGTATGGGTTGCTTGCTAAATGTTTGCAGCATCTCTTCTGGTTTTGAAGAGCTCCACCTGGTGCATTGTGCTCTTTTCTGAGGTTGGGCCACGACCTTCCTCAGCCTGATGAATCTTCCTCACAAATTTACAGAATTTATGATTTTAGTTGATGTCAGCTCTCACTGCACTTGGTGTAGTTTCAATGATTTTTAGGTATGTGAAACTGAGAGCACTCATGGATTTATTTGCCTGTTTTATCTTTTCAGAGGGCATCTGCATCCAGTTATCTGAGCTGTTCAAATTTTTAATGTTGCTGTTGTCACTATTATTTTCTTCTTCCCCTGTTACACTTTCCATGCAGATTTCTGTAATACTCACAGTGAGACCAGATAACCAATTTTTGATTCTTTTGTTTTGCTAACCCACTGCTTGGCTTCTGTGACAGTTCTCTTTCAACCAGCACGAATACTGCCCTGCTAACATGACAAATGAGTTTCCAAGGGTATTCCTTCTCTTAATTCCATCAAATTAGACCCCAGATCTCTTCATCAGCCCTTCCTGGAAAGCCATCCTCTAACTCAGGAGCATCTGAGGTCCTTTGGTCAGCTCCTGTGCAAAGACTGGTATTATCCCACACTGCAGGTCACCCAGCAGCTCTGCTGGCAGGGTGGGCTAATTAACAGGGATCAGTCTTTGTCTGATCAGTGCTGTCCTGTAACCTCTTCCCTGTGTGCTGAGTCCCTGCTGTGGTGGTCTTGGTGGTCTCAGGCAGGGGGCAACTCCTGGTGGGCCATCAGTGGTGCTGGATCCATGCTGTGGATTTGCCTCCCAGCCACGCCCCAGGCTGGGATCCCCCCTGCACCTCACTCCCAGGGCACCAGGGCTGGCACAGCACCCTCCAGAACCCACGCCTGCTTTCAGGCAGGACCCACAGCTGCAGGAAGAGAGGAGCCAGCAGTGATTGTGCTGGTTGTCCCCTCCAGCTCTGCCCTCCGGGGATCCCTGACAGCTCAGAGGACACCCCACAGCCTCCCGGTCTGCTTGAACCCCCATGTGTGACACCCCAGCCTTCCTGCGAGGGGGTGCTGGGGTCTGCCCACCCCGGGGTGTGAGCAGGGTGTGCCACAGCCACATGGCAAAACCCTCCTCCTGCGTCAGGAGGGTTTTGTTGCCAGGTTGCCAGGCAGCACTTTACTATTTACCTCCACGCCTGACACGCGTCCCGATGTTGCTCCACGCCTTCTGCAGTGCCTCTGTGGAGCTGTGGCCGGAACATCTGGGCACAGCTGGTGGCAGAGCAGGGTCCTGGGGACAGAGCACCAGAGCAACGTGAGGTAAGGGGCAGATCCCACCTGACAAGGTGGTGCAGTGGTGACCACACCAGGCAAAGGGCTTGGAGCTCAGCAGCCTCTTAGCGTTGTCAGTCTGGCTGCAGACCCCCCTGGCTGAGGGGCTGGCAGAACAAGGACCCTGCTTCTTCCCTGGAGTGGCTCTTTTTGGGGAGAGAGTGGAAAATTGTGGGCCTTTGTTGTGGAACTTGAGCAGGAAGTGAGGGAAGTGAAGCAAGGCACTCCATGGTGGTCCCTGTGCTCTTCCCACCCGTCCTGCTTTTCCCTGGCTCCTCAGGGCTTTGTTCCCCTGAGTGTCCCCAGGAAGGATGGCTCGGTGTCCTCCACAGCCCCTGGTCAGCACTGAGCTGTTTTTTTATTTTCAAAGGGCTCCTTCTCCTCTGTTCTTCACCTCTTGGCTTCTGCTGGTCACTGCCCTCCAGCTGGGCAGGGCAGGAAGAAGCAGCTGGGGTTTTGGGAAGTTTTCACTCATCCCTGCAGGTTGTGGTGGTGCTGCTGTGCTGGGGAAAAAGATGGAGAAAAAGAATTTTTCAGTGCAATTTAAGGCAGTGGCTTGGTAGGAGTTTTCTGAGGGCTGGAGGGGAGAAGGGCTCAGATGAATGTTTTCATTATTAAACAGACAGGGACTATGGTGACTAATTCTAAGGTGTAGAACAGATACCTCCTTGTTAGTCATGCAGAAGGAATTCAGATTAATTTCTTGCTGAGGAAAGAAAAGGAGAGGAAAACTGTTGAAGAGCAAAATACCTGATGGTCATAGTGGAAATAGGTTAAAAGGTTATTAAAAACTTTATTTTTCTGCCATGATGTAGGAGGCGCTTTACATTCCTGTGTGTGTCTCCACCCATGCAAAAGCTCCCATCTATTAAGTAGTCAATCTGTAGGTATATGGAAGCAAGAATTATTTGTTTACTTTTCTGAAGTGTGACAACTAGAGATTCTCTATAATTTATATTTGGAACAATCAAACCTCTCACTGAGGTGTGTGAGACACCAGCTAAGCTGGTGGGGAGACCACACTGTTGTCATCATAGTGTGCATTTTAAATTCTGTACAGCTTTTCTCTTATTGCTGAGAAATCCTTGTGGTGCAAAAAGTTAAGGAAATTAAATTTTTTTCCATGTGGAAGTAAGAAGCTACCCTGGGGTCTAGAGTAGTAATGTGGTTTCTGTTCATTCAAACCTGTGTGTGTGTTTTCATACTTCAAGTAGCATGGTAAACAGAGGCAATGTAAAAAAAAAAATGGATGGAGAAGAGAAAAAGTAAAAAAAAAAAAATTGATAAATTGTGCAGTAAACTTAAATGTGATCTAAGAATGTGTTACTGTGACAGAGGTGGCAAATCACAGAATCATAGAATACAACTTTGGACATATGCAAAAATACAAAATACACCTTTAAGCAGAGGAGCATGAAGCAGGAATAGAGGAGTAGTATTGTATTACTTCTTTATAAAGTATTGATGAGACAGCTGGAATGTTCTGGGCTTTGAAGTTTGATACAGCCACAACAGCAACACACCAGGGTTGTTTTGGATTAACATCCCTGAAGCCAGGAGAAGAGACCATATCCTTTGTGGAGTTCCTAAAAGGTCAGATGATATATAGGGATGTGTGTTACTCACATATTAACTACTCCTTTTTGTCTTGACATATCTAAGTTTAATACTTTAGTATTCAAATTTTTTTTGCAATAAACCAGTAAATCCAAAGGCACAGTTTTTGTTTAAAAACTTAAAAAATTAGCATGGGTGAATCCTGCAAAATAAGGATATGTGCTTCAGTGTGAGAGCAGGGTTGCAGTTTGTCTTAGTACTTGATGGAAAATTTGCTGTCAGTGCATGTCAGAGGAGAAAATATAATGTCTAAAGAAGGTCTGTGGGCATCTGTCAAAGTTCTTCATGTATTGTAGAAATACAGGCTGGGCAAAAGATCTCAAATAATAACTCTAATTGTCAGAAATAATTTATTCTTAATTTTATCTGGATAACAAATGAATTCAGATTCTTTATGCTTGCTTAATACAAGTATTTATTACAAAAGTAAAGTTGTTTTGTTTTTTTTTTCTCTTAGAAGCAGTCTCCTTCTGTGGATGCATCAAAACCACAAACTATGAAGCCATCTGAAACTAGGGTAAGAATTTCAGGAGGAAATCATGCTTGCATGGCACATGTATGAAGCCATGGAATTTAGTTTTTAACACTTTGATACTGAGTAACTTTACCCATATTTCTCATCGTAGCTTAGTTTCCTCTGCAAAAGAAAAAAAAAATCTAAAAAAGTGCTATTCAAAGCAACCAGAGGTTTTTACAACGGCAATAAAAAGAAGATTAATTGCAATGTTAAATTTTAGCTCTTTTTGTGGCATGTGCTATAGCTCCCCCCAGTGCAAGTGCAGCATGATTTACCTGCTGATGATGTTTCACGTACTCAACAAATCCAGGATGAGCTTCAGCTTTCTCTGTACGTGCAGTTGCACCTTCTGGTTAATCTCCTGTGTTTCTGTGTCTGACAGCTCCCCTGCCTTTGCCCTTCACGCGTGTTCTGTCTTGTTTTATGACTGGGCCTTCCTCAGTGTCAGGGCTGTGTCATCACTGCTGTCCTTGCCTTGTTAGGAGAGACTCACCGTCCTCACCTTGCCTGACAGGAGTTACCTGTGCTGTTTAAACAAATGATTAATGGCTCTCCCCCCAGCTCTTCCATTTCCCACAGCCACAGCAGCAAAACCAACAAAAGCTGGATGCCAGAGCAGGCCAGCAGGGACTTGTGTGGTGGTAAAGGCTCGGGCTGCCTGCACCTTGTGTGAATGCCAGAAAAGGGGTGCATGGGGGGGTCCCTGCAGGTGCTCTGGGGCAGGCAGAGCCAGCCCTGCAGGTAAAAGGCACTGCTGGAGGCCCTGCCAGGCACATTTTGGGCACCTACAGCGTGTTGGCACAGTCAGAGCTGAGGTCTGGTTGCCTTCACAGTGGTGATTTTTTTTTTTTTTCCATTTATCAAATGGGAGGTTTCTTTGTGGCTATCTTTCACTCTTGTCTCTGCTCATTCTGGCCTGCACCCCCATCTCTGCATTTGAAGTTAGCCATTACGTTCCACTCAGCCTTTTGAAACCCTTTTCCTCCATGCACACGTACATCTAAGAGCTGAATGGCAATTAAACAAGTTTTCCATTTGTGCACACCATCGTCGTTACTCACAGCTGAAGGCATCTGCCAGCATCTGGTTTCTCCTCCCTGTTGTGTTTGTGGGCAAACTCATTTGTGTCATGTTCATTAGTGCTGTGGCTCCCCATATGGTCTAACCCAGACAGCTATGGTCTTTTCCCTACTTGAAATTTAAAACAACTCTCAGAAGAATGTGGTAAATGAGCCAAAAATAGAGTAGCAGAGGCATGCTTCAGCACTGTAAGATTGGTAAACACAAATCCCTTTGAAACAGTGGCCTGCATTTGCATGTGTAACATAATTAATGTTTTCTTTTAATGTCTGTTGCGTTATTAATGTCTTCCTCCTGCTGGATTAAACAAGTTATTTGCATTTTTGACAGTAGACTTCTTTGAAAAGAAGTAAGGTTGCTGAGTCACTTCAATTTCTAGTCCTGAATTTCTTGCAAGTTAACAAATCTTTCCCAATTGCCTGCTGCAACCACATCTCATTTGTCCTTCCTGAAGTCTCTCTAGTGTGCCACTGCTCTTAAACATGCTCTGGACCCCTCCTCAACCTTCAGTTCTCTGTGTGTGTATCCTTTGCCTCCAGTGAGCCCTCAGAGCTGTGCCTCTCCGAGAAAGCCCTGAGTTCACTGTGGCAGAGGAAGGAATGTGGAATTTCTTGTTCTGTGGGCAAAGCCTGGGGTTAGGTGGACAATTTGGAGGACCAGGGTTTTGAGCCTGTGGAATTGGCAGGGCTGGAGCAAACAGGGTGCTGCCACCACCGCTGTCACAAGCACGTCCCCTTCAGCCGCCTTCCCTTTGTGCAGCTGCTCTGTGAGCCAGGGAACCAGAGAAAAAGTGTTGTTTTTTTTTCATTTCCAGACCATTTCAGCCAGTTTGAAGTGCATCCTGTTGGATCCTGGCACAGTGCAGGTGGGAGTAGGCAGCTGAAGGGGAAGTGGAACATCTTTTTCTCCACAGAAATTCAGTGCACACCATCAGCTGATGCCATGGCTTCTGTCTGTGGCTGCTCACAGCTGACTCTGTTTAAAGGATGGCTAAATAATTCCTCTGAATGGATAGTCTCATACAAAAATTCTTGGTTTGATTACCTGGGTGTTTTTTTGATTTTTTTTAAAAATTAGATTTGAACCTTATAATTGCTAAAAGTGTATCTAAATAGATGTGTCTCTGTGTGTGAGCAGGTGTTTATAATAATGTGTTTTATTGTGGCCTCAGCTTTTGTGTGCAAGACTTGACTCAAACCCTTGCCCATATGGGTCTGTTTATTCTTCAGCATCACCAAACATCAATTTATAGTATGGGTAATTCTGCATATTTTAAACATGATAGAAAAGGATAGTGAATGATGCACACCTCACACAGAAGGTGCATAAAGTATTCAGTAAAATAATATTTACAGTATAAAAAAGAAGACTTGCAGTTGTTCACAACTGGTTTGGCAAGTTGAGAATTTTTATTCAATGTTCTGTACAGGTATTGTTGGGCGTGGGCAGAAGTGCAAGTACATGTATTTTATGGTCCTGCAAAAATAAGGTGTGTTTAGTTTTCTTCTGAAAGGCAGATAAGAAAAACCTGAATTTGTACTCTGACAGGGTACTTAGAATCCTGAGCAAGCAGTAGCCCCAGGGCCAAACTCTGTATTTTTTGTACTTCATCTCTGCACTTATTTTTCATTTTTGCATCTTGCTGCTGAAGGACACCTCATGTCTGATTGACTGTTTGCTATAGATGACCTTAATTTATTTTATAAACTAGGAAAATCTTGGATTATCCTTTCATTACAGGATTATTTCGTGTACAGGTACAAACATGGATGTTGTGCCTGAGTTAGCAGTAGTCATGTAAAAAGGACCCACAAGTGGGAGTATATAAAGCATGACTGAACCTGAGAGTTGCTGTGCTTTAATCAGGTTTTAGGCATCAAGACAAAACACAAAGCAGGGAATCTGGGGAGAAGGTGGGAATCTGTGACCTTAAGTGAAATATTTATTTTTAATATCTTTTTCTCACTTTGAGAATTTTTGCTTCTCCCTCTCCATCAGTCTCTCCCCATTTGTGTGTGGAGGTGTGTCCCTGAAAGCTTCAAGACCTTTGCCAGGATTATGCCCAGGCATCTGCATTTAATGTGTGCTCAGGTTTTCCCAGCCAAGTGTCTGCAGTTCAGTGTGGGGGTATGAATACTTGAGTAACAAAATGTAAACAAACTGAGCAAATTTCTCTGTGTGGTCAGCCAGAAAACGGAAGCTGGGTGATTCTAAGTGGTAATGAATGTTTGGCAGATGAAAGGCTCTTTCTGGGTTGCTCATAGTGCAGCTAGAACCAGCAAGAAGAAATAGGAAGAAAAATATGGTGAGGAGGATGGGTTTGTTTCTTCTTAACAATTCTACAATTTTTCATTTTCAGTTCTTACTACTGTAATTTATTGCTTTCTGTACTTTGACTGGATGAATCACAGGAATTGATTCTATGGCATGGCTGCAGAAGGTTCTCAGGTGTAAACCCTGGAAGTGCAGTCATGTAATATTATCCTAGCCAGGTTGTCCAGCTCTGTGGTAAAATAAGAACATTAGGAGGTTACAGAGGAAAGAAAAAATACAAAATTTATGCTGTGTAGTATAAGGATATTAACTGAACATGTCCCATCCTGTGTATGTGCCACTGAATCTAAGGAGTTAATGTCTTTTCCATCAGGACTATGTGTATTTTTATAATTACTTACTTTGCAATTATAATTATTTTATTGATGAATTAGTGGAAATAGAATCCATTTAATCCAAATAATATTTGACGCTGTTTCAGAAATTGCTAGTGGCAATTTGTGTTTGGTATCTAACTGGTTACTGTATTTTACCATCTTTCCCTGTCAGTCCCCCATGTGAGGAATGAGTGTGTTTATGTGTGGATGTTTGCACATATTTGAGTGCTCTTAAATCACTGGTAGCCTGTGTTAGGATGTTATGAGCTGTAAGATTAGTGTGTAGTAGTTAGACAGCATGTGTGCTGGCAAGTGTGAACCTGTCTGATACTCTCCTTTACATAATCTGATCCTCTGCAAATAACCATGCATATTAATTGCTGCATAAATGTTGTTTATATTTCAGTCTACACCGACAACCAAAGCAGGAACTGAAAAAAACACCCAGTCAGACAAGGTAAATCCCTGCCTTTCACCTTTGCAGAGCTGCTGCACTTTGGTCTTTTACTAACTTTGAAAAAAGAGGCTGAACTCTTGGCTACTTCTGTGTCACATGAAACTGGTGTGTGACCAGTGACATATCTGGGCATAAACTTCAGAACAGCCCAAGAAGTGTCCTCTTAACCATCTTCAGATCTGTTTTGTGCTTGTTTGGACTAGCATGGATCATGTTCTGTAGCACTGAGTGATAGAAATGGTAAATTATCTCAATATTTTATTTTATGGCAGCCAACAGACTCTCAAAATAAACAGCTGTCTGAAGAGAAGCAAAAGGAACCCAGTGATGTAAGTAATATAATTTCTACCTCTCTCTCTCTCTTTGAATTTTGTAATGAGGGTTTCTTCTGATATTTTACTTTACTTTTTATAAGGGTTTCTTCTGGTACTTTACTTCTGTCTTTCACTTAAAAAAATAGTTTGAAGAAACAAAAAGCCAGCCCTCCATATCTAGTGATAATAGTTTATCTCTACACAGGGAAACAACCAAACCACACCTACTGTGACAACAGCTTCTAAACCAAATAACACAGGAAAAGTAACTACAACTCAGGCTGGCCAGCCTCCACCAGCAACATCCACAGAGACACCAAAGGTACCGTAGAAACACAACCAGTTTTTATTACTCCAGCTAACTTTTATTATTTTATTGAGGGAGTGTTAGGAATCCATATAAACATGGATTGTTTAGCTGAGTACTGTCAAGTGAGACTTTTGGGCCCCCAAAAAATCACAGTATAGTTAAGCTCTTGGCCAAGCAAATAACAGTAAGAACATCACAGTTTTAGGCCTGTTTCTGTGTGTTTGGGGCTCTTCTGTTTTTCTCTCAGTTTTTTTGCTAAGTTCCTTGTAGCTTCACAGCTGTCACTGGTTCTTTGCCAGGCTCTTCCCTTGCCCCTCACTGCAGTGTTGGCTCCAAGTGTAGCAGGTCAGCCCTGAATGCAAGGCTCTGAAAAAAACTAAAGTGTGGAAGGCCAGGGAAAAATAGCTGGGGAGGGGTCATTTCCACAGGGTAAATGGAGAAAAAATGTGAAAGAAAAGCATGTGGTGGCATCAGAATGTGGATGTTTTGGTCTGCTGGTGTGCATGTGCCTGTTGGCAAGGCCGGGGTATCACGAAGGGCTCCTGCAGCTCTGCTACAGCACAGTTTTTGGCAGTAAATGGCAGTGTCAGTAATGCAGAAATCTGCCTTTTGTGTGGTGGTGGTGCCCCTCCACCTCGCTGCCTGCAGCAGTTTTTACCCCACCTGCTTGAGCACCTTTTGCTGCTGGAGTTTAATGGAGCATTGAGAGCTACCAGAAGTAAATGACAGCTTTCCAAAGAGACTTGGAAGGGGCCTCAAAGTCTTTCTTGCCCTGCATATTTCTTTCACTGGCAGAATAAAAGAAGGAGGTAGAGTGCTTAAAATAAAAGATTCTTTCCCACAGCAGAATCTCACTGGAAACAGAGCTTTTATGGTGGTAGCTCACTCTGCCCAAACATCTGGGCGCTGTGCATTTGCACCAGGCAATTGCTGAGTCCAAAACCCTGTGCACAGCCTCAGCATCGGATGTTTTACTTTGTTTTGTCTCTCTTTTAACATTGCAATAAACTATCCCTTACTTTTTCTCTTTTTCTTCTCCAGCAAAAGTCCACGGAGATGTCCACTGTGACGGGTGCAGCTGCTGGAACAGGCACAGCTGGTGCAAGTGTGGCTGCTGCTGCTGACAAATCAAGTACTGAGGTTAGTAAACACAGCCTCAGACAAGGGGTTCCTTTGTAATAATGTCTCTGAGAGGGCTTCTCTCTCTGAAATACTTTGGTTTCAGGAAAAAAAAAAGAATGGGTAACTGCTGAAGTACTGATACATCCTCAATGTATGGATGATGGTGGAGGGCCATCTGCAGGAAGAGGTGGAAAACAACTGGTGTGTCATTTTTGTTTTGTTAAATAGGACTTCTTCAGAAGCTAGCTTAAAATTACACAAGCTGAAAATCAGTTACTCCCTATCTTTGGTTATATTTGAATATATATGGCACTGATACACAAATACAAAATACCTTGTTAATGACACTGTAGAATTGAGTTTAGAACCATTCTCACTGAAAAAATTGTCAAGTACATATCCTGCTGAAATAAAGCTTTTAGGTTGGTTTCTAGGAGTATTCTAGAGATTTACCAGATGTTTCAGGTTTTGGTTTTTTTTTTTCCCCTGTCTACACTTTTGTAACCTCTGTAATGGTTTGCTTATTTTTTTAGCCTGGCATGGATGAGTCAGCACTTGATAGCCTGATAGATACCCTTGGTGGACCTGAGGAAGATGTGCCCACTACTCCTGTTTACACTGGCCCGGAAATTACGGTATTTTACACTTCACATTCTTATTTCTCAGAAGATTCATCCCAAAATTACATCTGTAGTTGTTCATTACTGCGTGGCTCCAGGACTTGTACCTGTGATCTGTGAAGAGTTAAAACTGAGTGTGCACAGTTACATTTTAATGTTGGTTTTGTTAGTATAGAAATTACAGTTTTGGGAATTTGTTGAAGAATGCATAACTTTCTGAGTCTGAGTGGGAGAATCGTGTAAAAATTATTAGATTACAAGCTTAGTGGCTTGGTAAAACATGACAAAAATTTTGGAATACGTAAATATTTAAAAAGCAATCTAGGTTCAGCAATACATCCTATGGTCTGAGACAGTGAAATGGCTTAAATTAGGAATCTGGGAATGTTCTGCTGGATGATGAGCACTGAGGAAGCAAGTGCATGGCAGTAGGTACTGAAAGACAATTTAGAGTATCCTAGTCAATATTTGCATTTTTTTTTCGGTGGTATCACTGTAGGTGGCTCTATCAGAAACTTATTTCAGTAAAGAACAGTACACAAACACTAATGTGTGCATAATTTTCACAGGAAGATATATATTCAAGATACTTGGAAGAACTGGGCAAACGGGAAGGTAGTCTCCCTCCAGAGTACGTTAAACTGTTGAAGGTGAGTGAGTTAAAAATAAGTACATTCTTCATGTGTGTTTTCTGTAGTACTGGATATTTCTGCTTTCCATTTACTACAAAATTCATTCTCACTTTAGAGCAAAGGATATGGCAAAGATGTGGTCCCACCAAAACCGAATGTGCAAGATGAAGTAAGACTTTTTTTTAATATACTGGAAGGTGAAAGTAACCCAGGTGAAAATAACCCAGTTATCATTGAATTCCTAGGAAAATGTAAATGTTGCATGTTCTCCAAATGTTCCAGGCAATAGGAGGGGGATGTGGGCTTCCAAATTACCTAGCTACTGATAAAACTGAATAGAGTTTGGCACAGATGTTTTTAATAAAGCTGTAGGAATTTTCACGATGCTGAAGCTGAAATGAGTCAAATAAATGCTTACAGAAATATTTGGCATAAAAATAACAAAGGGGAGAAATACTGCACAAGCAGGAGTCTCTCTGTAATGCCTTCAGCAAAGACTATTTGTATTTCTACACTTAGCCAGAGATTTCTGTCAGCCAACATACTTTTGCTGGTTGCACCTTTATTTTTTTTTTTTTGTTGTGTCAGGAACTTGTGCCAGTGAGGTCACTGTATGAGTAATTGTGGGACACACTCAGGCTGTAAACTGAGCTGGACCCATGATGATATTTGAAGTTTCTCATGATCATAACTTGGTTTGCAATTCCTTGCTCAGAAGCCAATGACAGATGATGAGCTTGCAGACGCCCTGTCATCTGACTTCACCTGCAGTGCTGCTTCTGCTCAGGAGAAGACAAGTCTTACAGAGGTACTGACACTTTCCTTTCCACTGCATGCATTTATTGTGTGGAAAAAATTGACACTGTTATCATAATGTTTAATTTTAAAGTAGGTAAAAATTCCTGCTTCTTTTCTATATTTGCAAATTTGCCTGTAATTTAATCTTGCTCGCAGAAACCAAATAAAGAAGGAGAAACTGTGCAAGCACAAGCAGCAAGTTCAGTCAAGACCTCAGTTCCTCCTAAGGAGAAGAAAACAAAATCAAAAGAGGTACACATAATCCTTCTTTCACTGGTTACCTTGTAATTAAAATTTACTGGCATATGCTGCTCGTATGTGTTTTTTTATTCCCATAATATTCTTATCATTCTAATTTTCAATTGTAAATCCTCTTTATTATAGAAAATATAGGAATAACAAGAAATGCCATTGCCCAGATTCCATTGTGCCTTAAAGATCTTTCTTTAGTGTATCAGATGATTTTCCTTCTGGATTCTGAGGAATAACTGTGGTTCTCCTCACTAGAGGAAGCAGAGTAGAAATATTTGTAGGAAAATTTTCTTAGCTCTATGATCTGTGTTCAAAACCTGGATATGATGTAATTTTCTCATGTTTTATGAACTTTCTGTTTTTTCCCTCTGAAGAGCAAGTGTGACCTTAGACTTTTTCAGTTTGCCAAGTCAAAGCATATGAGAATTGTGTGAGATTACATTGTGACACTGTGTTTTTTGGGGTTTTTTTTTACTTCCTTTTTTTTAATATTCTCTCCTTAAGAAAAGCCTCATGTCTGACTAAAACTGTGCTAATTTTGTCACATAAATTGGTGTTAAGTAAATTGGGTAAAGCCGAACCAATTTGACTTTACACCAAATGACCAATCTGGTGCTGGCAGTTTTCTTCATATACAATACAATACTTGAGGTAAAAACCCGTGCCACTTTAAAGAAATTACAAAGTGGTTTGCACATTTTCTTAAAATACAGGAAATGAAAGATGATGCAATGGATGCTCTTCTGGATACTCTTGGAGGACCTGAACCTGAACCTGAAGAAGATCCTACCCCTGTTGTAGAGGTGTCAGAGGTAACACCTCACTCCTTTCTTACCCTGGCTTCCAGACTCTTGCTCTGAATCCTGAGTTTTCTTTGTTAGACACTGGACAAATCTGTAAAGTAACAAGAAAGTGACTTTGATATCAAAGGCCTAAGGAATGTGTGAGTCCTCAGTGATTAAGAAAATGAAAAAATATTCAGAATCCCAAGTGGCTACAGTTAGAATAGAACATAATAAAATGGTCTGGAAAAATTATGAGCATGTCATTTGTTTGCTTATACAAAGCAAACATACATATATAAATACATAAATTCACAAGTAGATACAGCTCTGTTTTAGTGTTTTCTGCCCCAGCACTCTACACAATTTATAGCAAGCTTTCCTTTTGCACATTTGCTGTTTGATTTTTGATTTCCAGTGCGTGTGCTCCTTTTTCCATCAAACTCCATTGTCTTTCTAATTTGAGTCTTGCCTTCACTGTGTTTTGAGAGTTTTGTTTTTCCCCCAACAGATAGAATTTAAATAGTTACCCTATGTTTGCATATTAAGCTTTAACTTTTTGGTTTAGTTTTGCAAACTCTGTCTATAACAATAGTTAGAGCAAGTTTTTTCCTGTCTTCACTTATAGTTCAGACAAGCAAACAACAGGGAAATAGTAAAAAATCTTCTGTTGCTGTGCTAAATTTTGACTAAAAAAGAGCTTCTTGTATTGCAGATTCAGTCAGTCTGGGCCTTCAGGTAACTTAGCAGATGCATTTCTTTATTAAGGAGGCCCAGAGAATTAAAAACTTCATTTTGGTGCCAGTGATGGAAAAAGGTACACAGTTATGGGTTCTGTAATCAGAGTGCTGAAGTGCAAGAAAACCTGACAATTTTGTACACATACACAAAAATTATAAAAGTGCCTGCCAAAGAGAGCTCTGAATAGTGTCTAGAGTTTTTTGGATTTAGGTTTTTAGGATTTAAAATAATTTAGCCTTATTCACATATGGTGTTGAATTTTAAACCATTATGATTTTACCATAGACATTTGACAGGAATAAATTGAGGGATTTTAGTATCTTGCTACACAGAATAATTTCTTCTGATGCCAGTCTTTTTGTATACAGTAGGCAGAAGAATCCTGATAGTGGAGTTGTGTACCTGGAGCTTTTATTTTAATTTCTTTAAGTGGTTTTGGTTTTTTAATGTTGTTTCTTTTCAAGGCTAAAGCCAAAGAGAAGAAGGAACAAAAGGCTGGAGAACATGATGATACAATACCTCCAGAGTACAGGTTAACACCAGAGTTGGTAAGTTTTTTATATCTTCATTGCTTTGTAGGCAGGGCACTGTTCCTGACACTTTCTTTCATTACAGAGAGGGAAAGAACCTGGGGGAAACAAACTAAACTAGCATTTAATCAATGGCTTTCTCCTTGGTGATTCCTGTACGTCTTATTCCTCCTCTTCCTTTGTTGGTATCACTGTTTTTTCCAGGCACTCTGGGCAAAGGGCTCATCTCATCTGAGTAATCTCAAATGGCAAAGTCACCCATTCCTTCTCCAAGAGTGACGTTTTGTGTTTCTGACATTAAATCTCAGCCTTGTAAAAATCCATCCTTTTGCAGAAGTGCTCTTTTGTAATGTAACCTTGAAGCACTGATGTAAAATAGTGGGAAACTATATGGAATAGGGAAAATTGGAAAATTGCCTCTTTTTTTTTTTTTAATTTTTTTTTTTTTTTGTTTATTATCACCCAAAGTGATGGAGATTGATTCAAAGTTAATAAAACAACAGCAAAGCACTTTTTGGTCTCTTGTGCTGACATCCCACTTGCTTTTTTGGTCTACATATCTGGCCATGTAAAAAATTCCCCATTTAGGGGAATTCCTGTAACTGATTAATTCTTGAGTATGTAATTTACTTTACCTTATTTTGCTGGTGATTACAGAGTATGGCACTTCCTGTAACAACAGAAAAATGTCAATAATACTTAATTTCTTTCTAGGATAAAGATGGAAAACCAATACTGCTGAAGCCTGAAGAAAAACCAAAGGTTAGAAAACTGACAATATTGTAGGAGTGTGGCTAGATATCCTGTTTTCTCCCTCTCTGTCATCACTTCTCTCTGTACCATGATGTAAGTCTCTTGGTCTGCTTGTGTGTTTTACTTCCTTGCACAAAACCTGCTGGTCAGAAGCATCAGGTGGAAGTTGGTTTTATTGAAATTCACTTGTCTGTGAATGAAGAGCTCATATAAGGAAAAGATTTAGAGACTTCAAGACAGGAGAGATTTACAAAAATTACTGCTGACTCAAAAAAAGGCTGTGTGGGGAGCTAGTATAAAGTATTCTGTAGAGGTCTGTTGGAGTTGTTAAGGACAGAGAGAGGTGAAGAAGGAAAATCTTTTATTTTCCTGACAGTTTACTCTTGCTAATGATCAAATATAAAGGAATTTGCCTGGAAAGAAGGAAAAAAAAGCTGCTGTGGACATTTTCCTAATCACAAAGAACAATCTGGACTTTACAAAGAATATCCATTGTGGCCTAGAAAGTGCAAGAGCGGATTAAAATACTGAAAGAGACAGTTGCAAATACTAATTTTAAAGGCAGAGGAAGAAAGCAAAGGAACTGAAGAAACTGAGGGCTCCACTTTGGAAATACTTTGAGCTGAGGAGTGCAGCCAAAATTTGGAAAAGCATAGGAAATCTCTGCTCTTCTGAAAGGAGTGTGAAGGTCAGGACCAGTTCAAGTGCCTACTGGGCAGAAATCTGAAGTTCAGGGTTAAAGTGTGGAGAGAGGGACTGCAAAGTGCTGGGAAACAAAAGACTTTTGGTCTCTCAAAATTGTTATTTCAGGTCTCAGACATGTGATTGTCGTGAGTGGTGGATGTTTGAGAGCTGGACAGAAGGGAACTCCTGCCAGGCCTGTCAGGAGGAGGAAAAGGGAACAGCTCTGCTCTAGGGGAACTAGGCCCTCCTGCCAGGGAATCACCACTGATATTGAGATCAGTGGACCCAAAATCAGCAACATGGAAAAAGCAGTGTTAATAGCTGGGAACCATCAGCCACCTGCTGTTCTTCCATGATTTCTGGTGAAGGCAAAGCCCTTCCTTCAGGAGTTCAGCCAGTGTTTGTCCTTTTTTGGGCCTCCACTCTGTGTAGCCTTAAGCAGTGGCATTACTCTTAGCAAATAAAATTTACTACCTTTTCTTATTTAGTGTCTGAAGGAGGATTTCAGGCATTATGAGAAGTGGGGCCTTACCTGTTGAGACACTTGATAAAGAATTAGGGAAAGAGAACGAGGGAGGGATTTCTCTGTCAGAAATGTCATTTTATGCATTATGAGTCTGTCCCTAAGCTGTTGAGTTCCATGCAGCAGGTGAATGGCCATCATGCTGGCAAAGATTTAAACATTTAGCTTTGAACAGCAATTTGGAGGATCCCGGGAACTTCAGGTGTATGGATGTAGGGATATATGGATTGCAGAGGCCTAGGTTCACATAGCACCAGTAGATTGTAATATATCACAAACAGCAGGAAACTAAAACTGAAATTTTTTTCACCAAAACACACACAGTGAAAACCACTGAGTATGAGCAGTCAGTGGACAGGCTAAGGGAACTTTCAGGGAACTCTAGTTCTGCTAGTAAATATTAGCATTTTCTTTCTAATTAAAAGGTTGTATTTTCCTTTTCAGTAGCCCTGTCTTGAACATTATACATCTGGTTCTCTATATTATGTTTTATGTTATATGTACAGTTCTCTGCATTATACTGACTTGTGATAACAAAGAAACTTATTCTGAAGTGTGTTTTTTCTTGATTTTATGCACTGCAAAATTAATTCTGTTTTGTTGCACATAATTTTCAAAGGTTATTTCAGTGTAAACAACAGATGTTTTCCTGCTTTATGAATAGCTGAAATACAATTCTTGAAAAAGTAAGCTAAAAAGAGGCAGTGAGTCACCTGTGTCACATGTTGGTTGTTTTGTTGTTTGGTTTTTTTTGCAGCCTATGAGTGAATCTGATCTTGTTGATGAATTTTCAAAGGACTTTGCCTGCCCTGCACAGCCTGCAGTACAACCCAAAGCACCAAAGCCCAGCAACACATCCAAAGTAAGTCTTTCTGGCTCACTGGAAAAGCTGACACTGACAGTTTTGCTAAGACTGGGTAGTGCTAGTGTTCTTTCAAAAAAAAACCAATTTTCTTCTCTTCCTGTTTTACCCTTCCCATTGCCTTTAGTGGAACATGCAGTATTGGCACTCAGCTCTTCACTGAGCATCTTCATCCTTTAAATTTAGACTTTTCTTTCTCGTTTAGTACTATATTTAGGAAAAAAAATAAGCCATTTAACAGGCACATTTTATGTTTTGTAAGCATATGCACTAAAACACAGTGTAAATTGTTCTGTTTCAGAAGCAATCAGGTTCTGTGTCTGCAAAAGCCACTGAGGATAAGGTGGTCTCCCGTGCCACAGCTTGCACTGTGCAGTCTGCAGCTCCTGTACCTTCAGTAAGTAGTGGAGCCCCTTCAGCTGGAGCTGAAACAAAACTCAGTGTTTCATTTATGGGATGGTAAAGCATGTTGTCAGGATGCTCATTTCAGTATTGCATGTTCTTCCTCCACAGTGGTAGCCCACAAAGGCTGAGGGGTTCACAAAAAAAAAAAAAAAAAAAAAAAAAAAAAAAAAACCACCAAACCAACAGCAACAACAAAACAAAACAAAACAAAAAAAAAAAAAAAAAACCCAAAAAAAAAAACCCAACCCCAAGTCAAGAGGAAGCCAAACTGATATTCTGTGGTGTCCTGTGCTCTTCCTGCCCTAAAGGGGATGCTGTTTGTGAGCCACATAGGGACTGCAGGAGAAGACAAAACCAGGTTTCTTCAAATTAAAAATTGTTTTTTTCCTGTATCAACACCCATGCAGGTCGGTCCTGTGTCAGATGAAGCACTGGAAGCCTTGTCCAGTAGCCTAGGAAAGAGGGAGCCTGATCCAGATGAGAAAAAACCTGCTGTGGACAAAGTTAAGGTAGAGAAAAAAATCAGACCTCAAAAAATAGACTGTTGATGTAACTACCTCCAGCATTACTCCACTTCCTCAGGTCACAAACAAAGTAGACATTACATTTTCACTTTTTTTACATACAAACTGAAAGCAGTTCTGTTCTGCTTAGGAAGTACTAGTAGGATTTCAACACAAGGAGTACACTTTCCTAATAATTCTGACTATTGCAGTGCAGTAGTTCCCTCAGTGTCTGAAAACTGTGTTTTGTTATGTCCTGCTGAACTGAAGCAGAATTAAGATGCACATCAGGGGTGGCACACAGTATGGTCCTTTTTCTGAAGGAACCAACTTTATAATGAGGGGTTTAAATTAGGAATTATGCACAAAACTTTTGGAATTTCTATATTTAAGTAGGGAGCCGTAAGAAAGACTGAAATCCTGTCCAAAGGAATGCTGTTCAAGTCTGAATGCCCTCATGTGCCACCCTAAACCAGATGGAATTGGCTGGAGTCAGAAACAGCCCTTCTAGTGGCTGGAATTCTGTCAAGCAGAAGTTCCCAAAGTTGGCTTTAGTCTTCTCTTAGTTGGCAATTTCCCAGCATAACTCATACGAGGATAATTTTTGAAGTGGGCCACTGATTTCTCACTTCATCCTTCCTCTGCATGCAGCCCAGACAGCTGTTGAGCAAAAATTTCAAGAATTAAGACTCAGAGGTACTTTTGATTTTAGTCCACCCTTGTCTATTCACTTACCTCTGCTAGCTTCACTGAAATAGATAGAGCTACTATTAATACACAGAGGAAGAAACAGGCAGGGGAATGAAGGCTTTCTCAAGAGAAAATGCTTTCTTTTAACTTTTATGAGATTTGGTAGTTGGATTTGGTTTGGTATCTGGTGGTTGGATTGAATGAGAAAGACCAATTTGAATCAGAGGACTGAAGGCTGGAAGCTTGCTCATGTGAATTTCCACGGGTAGTTGTTTTTCTTAGTGTGATTCCTATTTTTCCTTCACAGGAGAAAACCAAAAAGAAGCAACACAAAAAACTGGGTGAAGAGGAAGAAACAATTCCTCCAGAATACAGATTAACAGAAACCAAAGTAATTTATTTAATGTGCTTAGTTTTACTTCCCTTTCATTCCTCAGAACATGTGGGTGAAACCAAGACTCCCATTTCATTTTGAAACACTGATGTTTTCATTCAGCCATTTTTATGACGTCTAGAAATTCTGGTTTGTAGTTCCCGCAAATATATATCATCTATCATTGGATGCCTGCATGGGCATAGAAGTGGTTTAGATGCGGGTACCTGCATATTAATAATTCTGAGATTAGTCCACCAGAGTCTTTCAGTAGCTTCTGGTATTTTAGAAATAAATAAATTGTGATTGGTTAAAGCTGTCAAGTAAACCCCAAGGACCTAGATGTTTTAAGTGTCATTTTAAGTAGCAGCAGTAGATGCTACAGAGGCTGCTGGTTAGGTCCCTATCCCTGTAACACCTTCTGTTGCTCAGAGAATGCTCCCAGAATGCTTGAATTGCATGGCTGTTTAAGGGTTAATGCAAGGGATTTTTTTTCTTACAGGATAAAGATGGAAAACCACTCCTACCAAAACCAGAAGAGAAGTCACAGGTAATGATTTCAAATAACTGTTTCATTTATGACTTACTTACCAAATATGAACAGGGTTAGCCAGTGTTCAGTTTAAAAATGGGATATGTTACCTGCTTACTTTTTAAGAGATAAAGAGACTTACAATCTTCTTATTTTTCTTTCCAATGGCAGCCTATGAGTGAAAATGATCTTTTAGAGGGTTTGACAGAAGGATTTTCCTGTTCTCCATCACCACCTGCACCATTGCCTACATCAACTGTGCTAAAGGTGAGTATGCTAGATTTCTGAAATCTGGTTTTATTTTCAAGTTGTTTGAATAATCATGACATTTTCTGTTTTCTTTATTTCCTTAAAGTTCCTTCAATGAAATCAAATAACTAAAAATTTAAAATACATCTTGCAGTAAGTTAATGGAAGAGCAGGACTTTAAAAAACAAAGAAACAAAAAACTAGTTACGTGACCAATCTTTTTACCAATTGCTTGCATGAGTACTGCTTTCCAGCTGAGGATTTTAAAAGTGGTTTTTTGGGAATATTAGATGGCTTGGTGAAATCTTAGTTCTTTTGGAGCCATGTTTAACCTGTTTAAACTTCAGCTGTGGTGAGGTTTATCCCAGTGGTTGAGATGGAAGAACAAACTGAGATGAGGAACAGTTGCACAGTGTGTGTGGGGGGTGGTGTGTTTCAGTCTGAAATAAGCAAAGCTCCTCAAGAAAATTAAATCCTCGAAATCAGCTGTGTGGGTGCTGTGTTTCAGATATATTTTTGGATCTGATTAGTGTTTTTCTCTGGTTCTCCTGTGTGCCTGGTTCTTCCAGAAATCCAAGGATGGTGCCAAGCCTGCGAGTTCCTCGGATGTGATCTCTGCTGCTACGGTTTCCTCAGTGCACTCAGCAGCCCCTGCACCTTCTACCACTGTAAGAAACCTCTCCTGTAGGTTCTTACCCCAAAACAAGGGGCTGAGTAGTGAGGAAAGGCAGCAGTGTGATCTGGACAGTGTGACCAGTGTGGATTGTTGCACAAGTTAATAATTTATTGCTAAAAATTGCTATTGCAGAGAAGGAAAATATTCCCCTGGGGAAAACAAAAAAAAAAGTGGAGAAAAAAAGAATGAGTGGAACCCTCCATTTTCAACAGAGTTCCACAAGCAGTACCCTGACTACCTTTGAATACCAGGGGAACTTTCCTTCCTGGTGTTTATTGTAATGTTGCTCACACATTTTGATCCCCTGGTGCTCCCAGCCTGGCTTGGAAGGAGAATATAAAGCTCCTCCTGCCTTGGCTTTAAGTAAGGGCTTTTTTCCTATCCAGCCTCTGTATAAAATTGCAAAATCCATGGTAATTGCCAAACAATAATTGCCAAGCGATTGCCAGTTGTTTCATAGATCTGTTCTCATTGTAGCAGCTAGGCTTATTTATTAAAAACATAGCCATTCAAGATAATTCCATAAGCCCTTCTTGAAATGTTTTTTGCAGGTCAGAAATATTCTGTATTTTCCCCCAGCTATTGTGCTGCACTGCATACTGCAACAGGAGTGCTCTTTGTTCATTCAAGTTCTACAGTTCATTAGCCAGTACTTACAGTAGATTGATGAATTACATCATTTTTGCAGCAGATGTGCTTTCACAAATGTGTTTCTGCTTTGTTAGGGAGGAAAAGAGATGGATGAAGCCTTAGATCTCCTGTCTGATTCCCTGGGACAGAGGGAACCTGACCCTGATGAGAACAAACCAGTTGTGGATAAAGTGAAGGTAACAAAAGACATTCTGAAACTTCAGCAATTTGGGGAGAAGGCGGGGTGGGAGGGAATAAACCAAACCAACTAAAAAAAAACCCTCCAAACTCCCCCAAAAATCTGGTTCCCACATGCTTACAGGAGTATATGGCATTGGGATTTTAGATGTTGTAAGAGTAAGGATATTGGAGAAAAAAATCCACGCTCTTACATATGGGTATATCAACCGCTTTTCAGTCATCTGGATTACCTGTCTGTTCTGTGAAAAATTATGATTTGGTTAATATACTTTTGCTTAATATACTTTTGCCACTTGAGGGCAAGTGTTGAAATGTTATGGGAGATTTGAAATAATTTTAGTTCAGTGCTTTCATTGCCATTATTCTCATAATTTTCCAGGTGTCTTCTTGGGCCTCAGTTTCTAAAATTGTCTTTCTGGCCCTCTTTTTGTCAAGCTTTGACTTTTATAACCACAAGCTCACTTAATCAGGCACATTTTTAAATTTCCTTGTTTCTGCTGGTTTTGTCTTCATTTAGTCTTTCATAAAATCCTATAAAGGCCCTTCTGCTAACAAGAAAATAAATTTCTGCATAATAGTAGTGATAGTACTAATAACACAAATAAATAGTAATTTGAAGTAGCTAGGGTAAAGTACATTACTGGGGAAAAACAAAACCACCATGTGTTGCCTATCAATAAGTTTAAGCTGGAATCTTAGCTGGAGAAAAAAGAAAAAAAAGAGATCCCTAAAATGTCTACATTAAGAAAGACAAAAATGTTCTTCAGCAGTCTGCTTAGAAACCTCCTTGTGGTGTTCTGTGTGGCATCTTCCTGGTATGCTACCAAAAATCAGAGCAGCATAACTTGAAAAATAAATGTAGTTTTTTTAAAACTTTCAAGCATGAGACACACTTCATAGTTAAATAACTATGGGGGTTTTCTCAGTAGTTTTAAAATTTTAAAGTGAAAAAGGATATCTTTCCTAAGTCTGATATGCCCTCTGATTTGTTGATTGCTAATATTTCCAATATGGGTAATAATTTTTTTTTTTAATTAAATACTTTCAGGAAAAGGCTAAATCTGAACACAGAGACAAGCTTGGAGAGAGAGATGAAACAATCCCACCTGACTATCGAAAACTTCTGGAGTCAGGTGAGCAGGTAAGGAAAAACTTCCCTAGTTTTGATCTGCAGCAGTTGACATTGAGTCTGTCTGAGCCAGTCTGTCCTCTTTGGGATTACAAGTGGAATAAGTGAGTGTCTGTACTGAATTAGGGTAAAACACAGAAATACACTTCAGTGAGAGTAGCTCTATCCTCACATGCTTATAAGTAAAAAAAAGGGGAAAAAAAAAAAAAAAAGAAGTTTTGTTCTTGTTTTGCTGGGTTTTTTCTTTTTCAGCTGGGCAGTCTGAACAAATCAATCACTTTGAACTACTAAAAAATCCATTCAGACCAGTGCAGGCTCATTGGCAATCTGTGAACACCCAGCAATGCCATATGAAAATATTTGTATTTTAAAACTAATCTGTCTGGTTCAAAATGAGTGAGGATCTGTTTTTTTTTCTTCCCAAGAGTAAACCAGCAAAGCCAACAGCAAAGGATGATGTGAAACACAAAGGAAAGAAGGTAACATTTATGATGGGGTTTATTGAGGGTTTGTTTTTTTTTTTAATATTTATTATATTTATTCTGTGTTTCCTTTCATGCTATGGGCTCTGATCTTGTTTCAAAGTTGTGTCACTGTAGGCTTAAGGGGTGATTAATTGCAAATACTCATAAATGAAGGTGGTAATAGGAACAGTAGTGGACAGTAAAACTTTTGTGAGGAGGAACTTCACAATAAATGCAGTTTTTATGTAAACCTGCATTATGAATGTTCAAGAAATCATGCCTTTTGGGAACCTCAAATAGATGTCTCTAACCTATGTGTGGAGTTCAGGTGTGCTTTTCTTTAAGAAAAGGGATAATTAATTAAAGCAGACATAAATTCCTGAGCCACTAATTTGACTGTGGGAAGCTGGGTTGCACATTTTGTGACTTCAAAATTAAAATTATTGCAGAAACCTGTGGATGACAGTGCAGCTATTGATGCCTTATCAGGTGACTTTGATACTTGTGCAAAGGCTCCTGCTACGCCCCAGCCCTCAAAGGTAGGACATTTTCTGCTAATAACTTGCAAAATAAACAGTTTTTCACTCCTTGCTTTTCTTTGCAGTAGCTCATTTTAGGTTTACAGGAAGCCTGTCCAGATGCAGAGATTGTCTCACTTCTGCAGTGGAAGTTGGATGTATTTTGCTGTGTACTAAATATTTGGAAGAAGGAAGGTTTGTGGTAATTACAACCTTTCAGACAGGCTTGGAGAAGTAAATCGAGCAGAGAAATGTGGTAACAATTTTTAAGAGTGTCCATTAACTGCAGAGAGCCAGAGAAACCTTTGCTCAATGACAGCAGGAACTGTGTAGCAATGGTTGCTGGCTAGAGCTGAGACACAGTTCAAGAGGATTTTGTAGAGGGAAAAGCAGGGAGCAGCAAAGACTTTCAGACGTGTTAGGGAAAACAGTAGAGTTGACAAGAAATCAGAAGGAATGGACTGCAGAGGTCCTGCAGTTGAGAAAAGGAGCAGCAGCTTTGAAACTGAGGTTCACATCAGCTGTATTCCTGGGAGGACAGAGCTGTTTCCAAGCAGCTCTTCTGGCCACTGCAGTGCTTCCCCCAGGGGCTTCCCTCAGCAGCTGAAGACAGGACCACTGGTGTTTCAAGTGCTGCTTCATCTGCTGGTGAAACCCAGGGCTAAATCTGCTGCTGCAGCATTATTGCTCAGTAGTAAATACAAATCCTGCCCATCTCCACCAGGTTTTTCTGATGCAGTCTCCTGTCAGCACGGCCTGTGTTGCTGCCAAACCCATTCCAAAGACTGTGTTCTGGCAGATGTCAAAGCAGGAGCCACCCGTGCTCTATTCTCCTTGTAACTGTAATTATTTTTTTCTTTGGAGTGTAGGACAAAAGTGGAAAGGAATCTACGACCACTAAACCAAGCTCAAAGGATAAAGGAAAGCCCAGAGAGCCTAAAACGGTACAAACACATTTATTATAGTATGGACAGTCATACCACAGGGGCAGAGGGGCAGCTGGATTTTGGAGTTATATTGCAGGGTCATTAATTTGGGGAGAGTTTTACATCAATATGTTGAATTTGATCCATTTTTGTAAATATGCACATTGGAGAAAGGTCCCTGTCAATTTCAAGGGGAAATTTGCAATAAACAGGGGCAAAAAAAAATAGGTATCTTTCAGAGAGAGTGCTGTTTTCTGAGGGGGGGGCCTTGATGTCCAGCATGTCTGGACATCAAGCAGGTATCTGCATGCTCCACAGGTTCTCCTTCCCAGATTTGTAGATCTAAGAGTCCCACTTTGCCTGCCTGTAGCTGCCTCAGGCACAGGATCCCCACCACTTCTCTCATTTCTTGACAGTTTTGAGTAACAGCATCCAAAAGTGATTAAAAAGTACTCCTACAACCCCAGCCAGGTTCTCAAGTTATTGTCATAAATTATTTTTTAAAATTAATGACTACCTACATACTTTTATTAAAAAGTATGAATGAATGTGGTGGGGAAAAGCAGGTTGCTGTTTCTGTATTCAAAAAAAAGGGTGAGAAGGGGAAGGTAAAAAGGGTTGCTTGGCTTTTTTTTTAATCCAGAAGTAGAGAAAATTGATTCAGGTCAGGGTGAAGCTTGTTCCATCATATTGTTCTCACAGAGGATATGTAGATGCCTGAATCAGATGATTACATCTGCTCTGGGAATTTTACATTTCATGTCAGTAATGGGATTTTTGGTTGTTATTATTAAATCACCACAGGTGCCTTTTTTGAGACCCCAGAACTGACTTGCAGTTCTCAGTGTAAAACTGAGGGGTGTCTTTATCTCCTCTTCAGGAAGACTTTCTGAGCTGTGGCCTGATCACTGGTGTGGGTAAAAGGGTGTTTAGGAACAAGGAATGATGAGGTCAGGCACAACCCACTCTGTCTGAAAGAAAGCAATTGATGGTGAAAAGGTGAAAATATTCACACTCAGCACGAGTCACAAATACTCTTGTTAAATTACTGTATTTCAGGTGCAGTTTGTATTTATGCCTGAACTGTGATTCTGATGAGTGTCTTGTCACTGCCTGATTTCAGGTTTTAGCTTGGTGCAGTTTCTCACTGTCTCATCCTCTCTTTAGGCAAAGGGACAGTCCTCCAGCAGCAAATCTGAGAAGCAGAAAGCAAGCTAAACGTTAACCTTACCAGGTGAGATTTCTTCTTCCCTGTTCCCTGGGCTACCACAAAGACAATTTCATGCTCGTAAATTAAAGCTGAGTTTTGCTAGCAGTCCCTGAACCAAACCAAGACATGGTTACAACTACTGCTAAGTCAAAATGCTTTGGATGACTTTGCACTTCAGGGTTCCCAGGCAGGAAAGTTTTTTCACACCCTTTATCCATTCAGTTTGTACAGTTTTGAAGTTTTTTGAAGGTTTTTTTTTTTTTGAAGTTTTACAACTTCATGTTGCTAAACTCCTTTAAGCTGGTGGAATTCCAAACATTCCAAGGTGTAACATGCTGCTTCCCTAAGACATTTTCACAGAGTAATGAGGATCAAGCACATCTCAGCTGGAGGTTTTGATCTTTAGGACATTGACCTTGTGTAATTATCTCTGCTCTAGATCCATCTGGAGGCTTAGTTCCCGTAATTCCTCCCAGATTTACAATGTGAGTTTTATTTCCAATTAACAGAAGATGAGCACTCTGACTTTATTTTTTTGTTTTGTTTTCTCCCCCTACCAGGATCCTGCTGCATCGTGTAAAATGTCTTCTTTCTGTGGGTGGATGATTATTCCTGAAGAACAAAAGCTGATGCCAAAAGCACATAGTTATTCTGGGTGGTTTTTGTACAGTGATACTTGCTGGACTTTTTCTCATCTTTTCTTTTTCTCCCAGTAGTAGACTCAGGTTTATTTCTCTCCCCTAGCAGTTCAGTTTATTAAGACTCACATAGTTTGACTTTTTTGTAATTTCCTTCAGCATTCAGGGGGAAAGAATGCTTTCTATTTGCAGGAAATATATTGCACCAATGAAGAGCTATGCCAAAAAAAAAAAAAAAAAGAAAAAAAAAGAAAGAGAAAAAATTATCTGCAGACTTTTGCACATAATCTTCACATAGTGCCTGTAAATCTCTGAAGAGTTCATATGTGCTAGCATTTTTCAATGTTGCAGTGGATGCATTAAGTATTCTGGAATATAGTGAGCTTTAGTTACCCTCAGCTGGGCTGTGCAGCCTTCTGCTCAGGCCAGCTCCTGGTGGGAAGCTGCAGGCTAGCTGTGGGGTGGCTAAAGAGTGAGAAACTGGGGATTAGCCGCTTCTTCCAGCACGTCTGGACATCAAGCAGGTATCTGGGATGCTGCCTTTAGCAGTAGTTAAAACACACTAGGGCAGGACTTTTTTTTTTTTTTTTAATTATTAGTATTACCATTATTTCCAATTGTATCTGTACTGTTATCTCATAATTTCAGGAGTCTCCTGGACTGGACAAATTACAAATGTAACAGCTACCAACACAAAGGGGTGGGGAAGGAAAGGAGGGGCACGAGCCTCAGCAGCGATCAAAGCTCAGGTCCAGGGGCGGGCTCCTTTTTATCTTATTTTGCACTGTTTCTAGTCCTCCTGTCCCTGGCACTCCAGCAGGGAACACAGGGGTGGGGCTGAAGGCGTTGCTGCAGGGAGCAAAGCCCCATTCCTGCTGTTCCCTGTGAGGGCAGGCACAGCCGCAGCCCTGGGTGTGCCACCACCTCCGCGGGCTTCCCTCCGCCTCGCTGCCCTGCAGAATGTCCTTCTGCACGTCCTGACACGCTCACAGCTCTGCCGTGGGCTGGCAAAGGGAGGCCGCTGGCAGCAGAGCCCAGGGTCTGCGGGCAGGGATGGTGCAGAGGCTGAAGTTGGGGATATTTAGACTCGTGACTGTACTTGCAGTCTGCACCGTGCCGCTCCAATAAAGTTTTTAAGGATGCACTGTGCCCTTCCTGGCTTTTCATTTATCACCGCTGCTGTCAGGCAGAAGAAAACCTGGAAATAATTTTTAAAAAAACCCACACAAACGCTGGCACATTAAAACTGAATCTAACATTTCAGGGAAAAAAACCACCACCACAAAATACAGAAGTGCAGAATCAGCCAGGTTGGGAAAGACCTTTGAGATCATCAGGTCCAAGCTATGACTGAACACCAGCTTGCCAAGCACACCATGGCCCTTGGTGCCACGTCCAGCCTTTAAACACCTCCTGCAACTCCACCACCTCCCTGGACAGCCCCTTCCAGTGCCCAGTCACTTTTTTTACATGTTGGTGACTCCACGAAAGCCTTCGCAAGCTCATCGAGACCCTGCTGAGACATTTTTGTTGCCCCTTTTCCTTTGTATTTCAAAGGGCAAATCTTAACCTGTGGACTGCCGCTGTGCTGGGAGGCAGCTGGAAGAGCAAGGTGTAATTCACTGAGATTGTTGGTGCCCAGATAAATTGACAGGTCCTGAAATAGCTGTGTGTGAGGTCCCATCTCTTCTGCAGGAGGGCTGCCGTGCAGGACAACAGGCACATCTGAAATTAAAAGTGTTGGGAGGGAGTAAGAAGGGGGGCTCTGTGCTACCAGGAAGGCACCCTCAGAACTGAGCAGTTAAAAGCAGAAATGCCATTTACTGCTCACAAAAGAAATGACTGCACAAGAGGGGACAAAAAAAGACTTTGCAGAAAAATCACCCGCAATTTGAGTTTTTGTCCAATTCCCCATTAGGCTCTTAAAATGTTTTAAAAGCAGCAGTTGACAGTACTTGCACAGCATAAAATGACGTAGAGGTTTCTCAGAATTCCTGATTTATGTATAAATATATGTATATATTAAAAAATACATGGAGTTTGCTGTGAGCAGGAGGAAGTGTGCTTTCTGCAGGGTTGTGTCAGAGCTGTTGGCTCTCAGCACTGTGACAGGGTGCCTTCCAAACACCCACGGAGTGTTTTTTTCACACCCTTTATCCATTCAGTTTGTACAGTTTTGAAGTTTTTTGAAGGGTTTGGTTTTTTTTTTGTTTTTTTTTTTTTTTTTAAAGTTTTACAACTTCACGTTGCTAAACTCCTTTAGGAGTTTGGGCAGGCTTGATCTCCATGTGGGAGAAAAGGGAGGCACAGTCCAACACTTAAGATTAGTTCTAGATTATGATTTTTTTACCCCCCTCAGTCTTTACATCTGTTAAAATTCCAACTGTTTGGGCACATCCATGAGACAGGCTGGAACCACGCAGGAAATAAACACCCGGGGACTCAACAGCAAGGACGAGTTTGTAAGGGCGAAGAAATAAAGTATCCTTAAGCACAAGTGGCAATTAACGGAATGTGGTTAAGTTTAACACAGAAATAAGACTTTCCAGCAGGTAAAGGGAGCAGGCCACTCACAGTGAAAAACAGAAACTCCACCAATCAAAAAACAAAAAAAAAAAAAAATCCAACCTTGCTTTCTTGCGACTGGATGTGGCCCTGGCTGTCAGGGCTGGGTAAAAGGCAGCATTCCTTTACCCTGCAGGCGGCACACGACAGCCACCAGGGGTGGCCGAGTGTCCCGGCAGTGACACGGCCCGGCCACGCCGCGTGTGGGGACAGCGCTGGCCACGCCCCTTTCCCCACCAACCCCGCCCCCTTTCCCCGCTCCGAAACCGCCCCCCTCGGCTGCGGCTCCGCCCCCAAGCGCCCCTCGCACCTCCCATTGGCCGGCGGCGTCGCCTCGCGCCCGCCGCGGCCTGCCATTGGCTGCGGACGGCGCTGTTGTTGTTATCGCTGTTAGCGCTGTAAACAGGAGCGGCGCGGTGTCGCCGGTCAGCGCCGGGCACCTCTCGTCGCCTCACACCAGCACACACCTCCCACCCGCCGTCTCTTTTCACCTCTTCGTGTCACCTCTTGTCCCCCGTCACTTGCCGGAGCTCGCTCGCTCACTCGCTCCCTGCGCGGGCCATGTACCTGCGTGGCGGCCGCTGTCTGCCCGGGCTGGCGGCCGTGTCCCCGCTGTCCTCCCCGGCCACGGCACCGCTGGCGCTGGACACGGCTGAGGGCCCGGACAGGTGAGGAGGTGGCCGGGGTGCCGGGCTGGCTTTGTCCGCCCGCCCCACGCGGGACTCCCCACGGCCGCGGGGCCGTGCCCGAGGGCGCTTTTGGGATGGTTTTGGGATGCCCTGGTTCAGCTCCTGCCGCCGGCCCGCCGGGGCAAGAAGGGGCTCAGGGCACCCGAGGCACTCACATCGTCCCGTCCCGACCGCCCGCAGGCCCCGGGACACCCCGAGCAGGGGGCACGGGGGGCCGCCCCTGCCGCGGCTGTGGCACTCAGTGTCCTCTGAGCCGCTGGCCTCGGACTGTCCCCGGGACTCGGGCACCTCGGATGCAGGTGAGGGATGCGGCTGCTCTCCCCACAGCCATCCCCAGCCGCCCCCGAGGGTGTCGGAAGGGGGTCGGGGGTGGAGGCGGGGCAGCTCCTGGGGAGCGTTGGGCAGGAGGAGCCCGTACCTGCTCTGCCTGGGGCTCAGCCGGGAACCGCTCCGCTGGGGACACGCGACATTCCGTGAGGCACCGCCGCTCCCAACGGCGCTGCCACCCGCCTGCCGGCGGCTCCCGGCCCGGCCCCATCCCCGCACCGGGGCTACCCCTGCCCCGTGTTCCCCAGCAGGATCGGGGTAGGGCTCCCACACGCGGCAGAGCCTCTCAGCGGTTCAGGAAGAGTGAGTGGCCCCATCCCCGTGTCCCGCCGCGGCCAGCCACTGTCCATGCCCCGCCTCTCCCGAGCAGCAGAGCCCGGCCTCAGCCTGGTTGGGGGCTGCGCATCCGGCTGTGACCCCCAGCCTGTGTCTGGGGGTGGTAACATGAGCTGCTTGGGCGGGGACGCGGGTGGACCACTGATAAAACCCATCTCTGTTCTCCCCACAGCTTCCAGAAAACCATCGCGGAGTTTGGGAGAGCTCTCAAAGAGTACGTGAAGGGGCTCTGTCCTGCGGCAGGACATGACTGCCAGGCTGTCCCTGTCCCAGACCCAAAAGCCAGGCTGTCCCCGTGTCCCGGCTGTCCCTGTCCCAGACCCAAAAGCCAGGCTATTCCCGTGCCCAGGCTGGCCCTGTCCCAGACCCAAAAGCCAGGCTGTCCCCGTATCCCTCCTGGAGTCCTACTCAGGCCATTGATGTTTGCTCGATGCCTGGAAGTGCTGTTGTCCCACGTCTCTTTGGGGAGCTGTGACAGCCCTTTAGCGGCCTTACCCCACCCTGAGGACATAGGGGATGGAGGTGACAATGGCAGAGGGGTGGGACACAGCGGTCCGAGACACCTGCAGTCATTCGATGCTTTCCTTGCAGCAGGAAGCTCCTTCGCCAGAGGATCGGCTCCTTGCCGGTGAGTGCAGGATCCTGCCGAGTCTCCGGCCGTGCCGAGACGGTGAGAATGGAGCCAAGAGAGGGGACAAGGCTGTGCAGCACCGTTCACCCCCTGGCTCTCCCGCAGCAGTGCCAGCTGGAAGCCAGCCCAGTCCTTCAGGACATCTCCCAGCTCCAGGTGTTCAGGGACATAGTGCAGCAGCGCCAGAGTGAGCCCGACGATGAGGTGAGGGGCGCGGCGAGATCTGGGGGGTCAGGGAGGGGGCACAGGGGTGCTGACGCCGTGTCCCCCCCGCTGCAGGAGGGCTTTGTCCCCAAGAGGCTGCAGAGGCTGGGCCAGCGGAGCCACGGGGCTGCCAGGAGGAACCTCCTCGCCAAGAGCCCATGCGGCACACCAGAGCTGCTGGTGAGAGAGGCTGGAGCGCTCCGGGGGAACCACGGATGGGTGATCATGAGCAAAGTGGCATCTGCCGCTCTGCCTCTGCGGGAGGCGTGTGCATGTGGGAAATGGGCGGGCTGGGGGGTCATGGGTTCCCCCTGACTTCAAAGCTGCGAGGCACTTGGAGGTGGATGGCCTTGGGCACGGGATCCATTCCTGCCTGGGGGTGGGAAGCAGCTGTCAGGGCTTGTCCCCTTCACGATCTCCTCCGCCTCTCCCCCAAGTTCCCCCAGCTGCTGCCGTGGCAGAGTGATGCCACCGTGCCCCAGGGGATGGAGAAGCCGGTCACCACGCCAGTGATAAAGAAGGAGGAGACAAAGCTGGTACGTGGCCACCTTTGGCAGTGGATGGAGCCCCACAGTCCCCTCGTGGGGTCTCCGAAGGGGGGTCTGGGGCCGAAGGTCCCTGGGGCAGGGGCAGGTTGGCGAGCAGCACCAGCCCTGGAGCCGGCGGCTTGCCAGACCCCCGGGCAGCAGCGCGGGCTCTCCCCACAGCGTCCGGGCAAGCGCGGCCAGGGCCGGCAGCTCTTCCGCTCGCCCTGGATGCCCGGCGGTGTCCGCGGGCCCGTCCCGAAGCGGGGACTTCCCTCGGACAGGGACAGCCCTGCCAGTGCCAGGCGGCAGAGGAGGGTGGCCGGCAGCCCTGAGCAGAAGTCATCGCTGGATCCGGTGGGTGATGGGGAAGGTGTGGGGGGAAAGCCAGCCTGTCCCTGGCAGGACTGGGCCACGGCCTGGCTGTGCCAGAGCCCCTGCTGACACCTGGGGGTGTCTCTGGTTGGTGCCTCCACAGGGAGTGTGGCCGGAGCCTTGCAGGTTTGCCCAGCTGGAGGAGATCGAGAACCTGCTGGCCAACGATGACCAGGAGCTCATTGGAGACTTCTCCAAGGTAGGGCCACGAGGATGGGGCAGCTCTGGGGGCGCTGCCCCTGTTGTTCTGAGCAGGGATCATCATTAGAGCCCCGTAGTGCTGCCAAAGAGAGCCCAAAGGGAGCTGGTGGCCCTTGCTTGGGGACACGGGGCCTTGGGGCTGTGACTTGCCAGCCTGCAGCGCCTGCAGGGGGTGGAGAGCCCCATCACTGCTCCTCTGCTCCGTGCCCGTGCCACAGGCACGTCTATCTGCCCCTTCCCCCCTCCCTCCCCGGGGCTGTTTTGTCGGCCCCTGGGGGCTCGGGGGCTCGGGGGACCCCCGGGAGGTGCCCTGGGACAGCGATGAGCCCTGGGCGTTTCTCTTCCAGCCTCACGTCCTGCCGACGGTGGAGGGGAAGGACCCGGGCCTGAAGTACATCTCCCCTGGCACGGTAAGAGGACAGCGACCCTTCTGCAGCCCCCCTGAGGGGCCGCCTGCCTGTTCCCTCCCCCCGCCCGCCCCCGTGTGTCCCCCGTTGGTGACCCGCTCCCCCCGCAGCTGGAGAAGGTGCTGTCGGGGCACTACAGCAGCTTCATCGAGAGCAGCATCGTCGTGGACTGCCGGTACCCCTACGAGTACGAGGGCGGCCACATCAAGGTCAGAGCGCCCCCGTGGCCGGGAGGAAGGGGGGTGTCCGAGAGGTGTCCCACAGGTGCTGAGCCCACCCCGCCAGGTGTGGAGACAACAGGGATTCAGGATCCCCCGGGATCTGCTGAGTACCCTCCGAGAGATTAAGCAACCCCTCCAAAGAGGAGTGAAGCACTCTAGAGCCCCTCTGAGTCCCGGAGGGACTGAGCAGCCCCCCCATGAAGGGCCCCGAGCCGCCCGGAGGGATGGAGCAGCCACCTCAAAGGGCTGATTCCCAAGTGGAAACAGGAGCATGGTGGTGGGGGAGGCTGGGGGCAGCGTCTTTGGGTCCCTGGAGAAAATGAAATTGGAGACGGGAAAAGGCGCCTCGTGTTCCTCCCCAGGGCGCTGTCAACCTGCCGCTGCAGCAGGACGTGGAGAAATTCCTGCTGGAGCGTCCCCTCGTGCCCCAGGACATCGGCAAGAGGGTGATCCTCATCTTCCACTGCGAGTTCTCTGTTGAGCGGGGGCCCAGAATGTAAGTGAGGGCACGGGGGGCACATCGGGGTGTGCCAGCCCCCCGGGCACGCCCGCATCCCCGCCCGGGGCTAACGCCGTGGGCTTTGCCCGACCACAGGTGCAAATTCCTGCGGGAGAAGGATCGCTCCTGCCACGAGTACCCGCAGCTGCACTACCCCGAGCTCTACGTCCTGAAGGGGGGGTACCGCGAGTTCTTCTTCCAGTTCCCGGTGAGTCCCTGCCGGTGGCAGGAGGGCAGGAACTGGGGGGCACAGGGCAGTGGGGAGGGGCGGCTCTGAGCGCCTTCCCTGCCATGGGAGGGGATCTCCGGGCCGGGGGCTGCGCCGCGAGGGCTGACGGAGCTGTGAGTTGCAGGGCCACTGCGAGCCCCGGGACTATCGGCCCATGGAGCACCCCGCGTTCAGGGAGGAGCTGCGCAAGTTCCGCGGGCAGAGGCGGCGCGGCCGGCGGGCGCTCTCCATCCGCGGGCGGGACCTGTGAGCCCCCGCAGCCCCTCGGGGGAACGATGGAGCTGGGATTGCAGGAAGGATTCCCTTGGCTAGGGATGCACCTCGGCTTGGGCTGGTTTATCGGACGGCTTTGGGGTGATATTTAGTGTTAGGACTGGATCTGAGTTTGTTTATTGCTATAAATATTTTTTCTATTGTTTTAAATATTTTTGTGTTTATTGTTATGAATTTTTGGTTGTTGTATAATTATTTGTTTGTTTATTCTAAATATTTCTGTGTTGTTATAAATATTTTTGTGATTATTGTTATAAATATTTTTCTGTGTTTATTGTTATAAATATTTTTGTGTTTATTGCTATGAAATTTTGGTTATTGGTATATTTGGTTATTTGGTATATTGATATATTTGGTTATGGGTATATTTGTTTGTTCGTTTGTTGCTGATAAATATTTCTGTCTTAACTGTTGTGAATATTTTTGTGTTTGTCTCTTGTTAGGGCTGTTTGTTCCAGTCTCTGTCAATAAAGTCCTATTGCAGGAGAACAAACTCGGCTCCCGAGCTCTCTCTGCCCACACCAGGGCGCCGTGGGGCTGGGAGCCCAAGATCCGGGGCTGGGGGCACAGGCAGGCTGGGCTGGAGGACTCTGGGCTCTGGGAAGGGGTTCAGCTGCTGGCAGGGGACAGGGCTGGTCTCAGGATCTCCTCTGGTCTGGTCTGGTTGGGAAGATCCTGAGTGCCTCTGTTAAAAGCCTCTTTTCCCCAACACAGCCAAAGAAGGAGTCAAGAGTTTGGTTCACGTTCTCAAGGTTGTTTATTATTTCTTTATCTCAAACATTTTCTGTCTGGCCTGCCAGGGTCTGTTCTGCAGGTCGGTCTGAGGCACACTCCCACCTCTTGGGCTGGTGCTATATTTTATACTGCAAACTATGTATGCTACGTTTGCAGTTATGTTCCAATACCTATCACCTATGTTAGACAGTGACTCTCTACTCTAAACCAATCTGTGAATGCCAACATCATCCTGAACATGGATGCCAGGGAGAAGAAAGAAGAAGGACAGGGCACGCCCAAATCCCTCCATCTTGGAACCCCTGACCCCCATGTACAGAGTTCCAAACCTCCCTGTACAAGGTCCAAAACCCACCGGTACAATGCTCCAAAATTTTTTCCTTCACCCTGTGATTGCTACTACAATACTACTTAAACTTTTGTGAAATGTAATTCTTCATACAAGGTTGGTAATTTGCTCCATGAGTTGAGATCAAATTCCCAGGTGTCTTTGGCTTCCTGCCAGGGTCTCCGAGCTCCTGCCAGGGCTTTGAGCCATCCAGGGCATCCAGAGGGATGTCCTGGGTTCTGACAGGCTGGGGCGATGGCTGCCCTGGGGCGTGGTGGTGGCTTCCCCAGGGACAAGGTGACTGGGGCAGGGACAAGTGTTGGTCCCTTGGCTGCCTTTCCTGCATGCTGGGCTGGCAGCAGTGTGGCCTCAGATCCCCATAGGATCCTCTTTCCTGGGCACGCTGGGCTTGGCAGGAGCCCTGGGACACTTGGGGTGGCTGTGGGACCCCCCCAGGCTGGATACTCTCTTTTCTCAGGGAGTCTCCAGAACTTCGAAGCACCCCCAGGGCAGGGACACCCATTCCTGAGGGGAGCCTGGGCTCAGTTGGACTCACAGAACTGTGGCAGCCCCAGTTTGGGGTCAGGACTCATCGGGGCACTCAGGGGCATCAACCCCTCAAATTCTGAGAAACAATGGCCCGTTTTGATGACCCGTTAAAATATGGTGGGGGAAAAAAAAGATAAGATCAAAGCAAATTAACTTTATCTATAAAGGGTTGCCATAACACTTTGGCTGTCACACAATACATTCCCTCACTTGTGATTATGAAGGACTATTTATTTAATTGTGGATATCTTTTACATTTCCCCTGAAATGCTAAAAGGTTGACCTTCTGGTCTAGAGGTTCAGTAGGCCCTCTGGTGTCCATGGCACCTGCTTTGCTATGAGTCTATGTCATAGTAACAAAACACCAAACCTGACTCTTTCTCCAGGAGTCTTTATAGCATATGCTAAAGCTTCACTGGGCTTTGGTGCTCCCCAGCTGCCATAAAGTAATGATAATAATATTATATCACTAAGTAATTTTTCATTACAGAGAAGTATTTAACACCACGAGAAATGGGAAATATAATCTACACTGCCACCCGTTGTGATGTGGCTGTGGAATACACAACGACTAAATAGCAAGTAAAGCCAATGAGTATGATAATGCCTCACCATAACCCCATTTTAAACACTCTGTTGGGTAATTTTGACATGGAAACAGCATGACAGTAAATGCATATTCCCTAAAACTCACTGAGTGTTTATCCGAGCAGTGTCACAAAGAAGCCAGGAAGCAATTTTCATCGTGGGCTGCCAGCAAGAGGGGTTTCCCTGCAGGGTGAAACTCAGACGGGTGCTGAAGAGCAAATTTTCTGTGTGGTACCCTTGTCCCAGCACAGCCAGGAGGGCATGGTTATAAAAGCCACCTGCAAAGGTTTTAGACTTCCTGCAGCTCCCCTCCTGGACCTGCAGCCACCCAGTGTTAGGCTCAGCTCTGTAAAATCCTCCAAAAATAACTGCATTTGTTTCAACTTTGTGTGTGTTGACCCATACTTATTATTCTGGGATGCTCCTGGCCTGCTCTTTACCCTATGCATGATCAGGAAACCAAACCAGACCTCATTTTGCTGCAGATCCTTGCAAATTGAATTTCCTGAGACTGCTGGATCTCGCTAGCAGCTCAGAGCTCATTAGTGAATCTAATTTAAGGTCCTAGCAGTGTACAACTGCTGCCCACAGCATGCATGGATACACAGCAGCAGATTTGGAAGCCCCACAGCAATGGTGCTCCCGCTGTTCCAAATGGAGACTGAGTACAACTCCCTGAAAGGAAATGGTGACATTTTTTTCCTCCTCTGGTTTCCCCTGCCAGAGCACACTGCTCTTTTTTACATCTGTTCTCGGCCTCTAACAAACCAGCAAAGGGTAGTTAGTGTCCTGAGAGCCCATGACATGACATCTTTGACCAGGAAAAATAATCCCAAGTCAGTCTCCAGTCTTCAAAGGCATTTCCTGGACCAGCTCCTGCTGGGGACAGCCCTGTTCTGAGCGAGCTGGGCTGTGTGGCTCAGTGCTCCTGCATGCAGGCAGCCCAGGAGTGCTGCCAGAAAAAGGAAGAATGGAAGAGAAGCTTGTCTCCCAGCTATTCCCAGAGTCAGGAGATGATCTCCCCAGGCTCCTGTGTGACCAAACTGAAGTTCCTCCCACTCTCCAAGAGGTGGCAGATAATCAGCCTTTGGCACCAAGGTCATCTTCTGCCTGTTTCATTTAGAGAAAGCGTAGGACAGGGTCAGAACACCCATTTCCTGCTCCCGAGATTTCTGTTACCTTATCACGTCCAACCATACTGTGGAGTTTTCTTCTTGCTGCCAATCTTTAGCCCTGCAAGGTTTGGGAAGCTGAGGGGTGAGGTCCATCATCCACTGCTGCTCTTCTAAGAGGGCACACAAGAATACACAACACCGCCTTTGCAGAGGTGCAGAAATGCAACTTTCAACCTTTTAGTAATCCTCTTCCTGTTCCCCAGGCTCACATACTCTGAATTTTGCTTTTTACTGTAACTCAGTCACTGTAGTCCTAATTTTTTCTTTTCTTTGGACACACAGGAGGTCTTCATGCCACATGTAAAACTCTGGCCTCCTGCTGACATTTTCCTTCTCCGTTATCTGCCTTAAGCCCCTTCTCTCCACAAACTCTCCCCTAACCCTTGCTGGTTGTGCTTCCCTCTCTTTTCTGCTGCCTCATCATTCTCCAAGATCAAGTCCATGGCCCCAGCCTTGCACACCATGTATGATCCACACCTCTCCTTCTTTCCATGTCACTTCTCCTCCATCTCAGACCTGAGGTGTCACACAGCCACGGCTGCACACCCCAACTCTGCTCCTGAAACCTGGGACAAAGTTCCTTGCCTTTCCACCTCTCTCTTTCTCTTTATTGTTTGTCAAACCAGATATAAAATCTGTCTGTCTCACAGATTAAACATTACCTGAGGGAAAGGAAAAAAGAACGGAAACCGTCTCCAACTCTGGCTCGCCCTGATGGTGACATACATGGAAATCTCTGCCCTGCAAGATCAGTTGGTGGCAATATTCTACTGCTATTTTAAGCTTTAATCTCCTTGCTTTCTGCTGGCAACAGTTGAAGTGTGAGTGCTACTTCCTCCCACATCCCTGCTGCAGTTCCTCTCTCTGTGGAGGAAACCAGGGGTGCCACTCCCTGTAAAATGCCTTGGTGGGATTTTCAACTGCTCTTGGCTCTGACCCCCTCAGCAAACAAAGGAGAGGGCAGTAAGGCACTTTCAAGTACTTTTAACCATCTCACCTTAAAATTACTTAAGCAAGGACTCTCATGTAGGGTGCATTTGAACTTCACTCTTCAAGTACCATTAAGGTGGATTTGGTAGATGCAGGGTCCCTTGTTAGCACTTCATTCTCCACAAGATAAGAAGAAACATAAATAGAAGCAACACTTTGTCTGCATTTCATTCACAGGCAAAAACTAGACTCAGGTCTAGTGGTGATGTGGCAGAAGCCCTGGGATGGTGCAGGGCATGTCAAAGCCAGCAGAGGTCCTTGCAAATTCACACCCTCCATCTCCCTGGCTTGTCTTTGCTCCTCAGACCTTTGACAAAGTTGTCCAAACGTGCCCAACAACTTCTATTGGCCTGAGCAAAACTGCAGCTACTTCAGAAGAGGACATGCCAGCTCAAAGCACTGGAAAGCCACGAGCCAGCCTCAGCCCAAGTGGCTGAACTAAAGGCTGCAGCCGTGGCATTCCAGAAATTTTTTCAATAGCACCTGATAACTGTATAATGTCACATCTGATTGATTTCTAATAGCTGTTAGTAACTTTCTTTAGCAACTCTCTGTTTCAAGATTCAGCAGTTCCCTTGTGAAGAGAGCTGCGGCCACCCAGGAGGATCGTGTAAAAACACTATTAATTATAAATGCCTGGCGGATTAAAGACTCGTTTGGTCAGCAAAAGGCAGGCTTTTCCAGCCAGGCACGGGCGAATCGCTTCTCCTGCGGCCGGGCAGACTGAGGGGACGCAGTGCCATCAGCTGGGCGCTGGCAGCCACTGTCCGAGCGCTTTTCCAGCCAGGCAGGGGGGCTGGCTCATCCAACAGCATCTCCTCCCTAGAGAAGCTCCTTGCGCAGGCACCAGCACATGCAGAGCCTGTGCCTGCCCTAGGTGAGGAGGGCAAACCGGCACAAAACCAGGATTAGGAGCTCTTGAGCCCATTAAGAGGACAGCAGCTAATCCTTGCTTCGAAGGAGCTTT